GTTATCCAGAATGTATAACGGTATTTCAAATGAATGTTGGAAATGTAAAAGAAAAAAGGAAGTTTTCCCATTTATGGTGGACATGTGATAAAGCAAAGAAATTTTGGAGTAAGGTTCATATTATAATAAAGAATATTCTTCAAAGGAAAATAAAAATGGAACCAGAAACTTTTCCTTTCGGTTTAATGGAAAAAGACTTCGAGAAAAATTTTGATCTTATAGATATTGACAGCAGCAAGAGTATTATATGCAGAAAAATGGAAGGAAATTTAGATTCCCACTATGAACGGATGGCTACAGAAGCTGATGGAGTTGGAAGAAGTGGCAAAATTGATCATTTTGGTTAAAGGAAAGAATATAAGTACCTTTATTTCCACATGGAAACCGCTTCTGAACTTTGTGCTTGAGGTGGAAAAAAATGAAACTTTGATTTTGGGTTTTACCGACTAGATTGATATATTTTTATAGAAATGGATAGTTTATATTACTATGGAAAAACAAAAAGTTGTGGTTTGAAGTTAATGCTTTTAGAGAGTTAGAAGTCAATGTTTCTTCTTTTCTTTTCCCCAATTTCTCCTGGTGTAGGGTTTCTTGCCTGGGCAGGGGGTTGGACTAGAAGACCTCCAAGGTCCCTTCCAACTCTGTTATTCTATTCTATTCCTCGTTTTTCTCTCCCTGTTTCCCCCTCACACACAGTGTGTCTTCCTATTTACTTTTGTATTTTGTATTTTATCTTATAACCTAATAAAAAACGTTAAACTGCAAAAAGATGTGTTTATTGTTTCAAAGAGGATGCCATGGAGGACTTTCAATGTGATAACCTTGAGTTGGGCATGGATGCAAAGCAGAAACCAATGCAGCTTGTAAAACAGGGCTATGACATGAGCCATTCTAGGGATAGATAACATTGTCCACCCTGCTTCATTCAGCACCAGCTGTAGCTTCCAAATGCTCTTCAAAGGGAGCCCTATGTAGAGCCCATTGTGTGAATTCAAATGCAAGAGGACCAGAGCATGAGTGACTGAGCCCAGGGAATCACAATCCAGGAAAAGGTCCAACTGGCACACTATAAGAAGTTATGCAACTAGAAAGAGTTGTGAGTCCAGGAGGGCAGGAAGGCCCCATCCCCAAGAAGCAGCTGGGACTCCCCTCCCCACTCTTCCACACACGAGCAAAGCTCTAGAGCTGACCCACACACACTGCTTGTATCTTGGGGCCCCACAGCCAGGCCACCCCAGTTTCCTTCCTGCCTTGCCTTGCAGCAGTGGCACCACCACCAGCAGCAGCCAGGATCAGGAGGCAAGCAGGCCTGGGCATCCCCTCAGGGAAGTGGGGCTGGGCAGTAGAGTCCCGGTGCCCTGGGAACTCAAGGGTTGGGTGCCAGCTGCCCACGGCCCCAGGTAGCCCATGCTGCCCTCCAGGGCCTGCCCACATGGCCTGAGAGGATTGGTGAGGCTCCTCCAGTGGATCAGGGCCTGGCACCCATCCTGGTCCCACCCCCAACACGAGGGACGTTGATCTGGCCATGCCCACCCAGGCAGCTGCAACCACCCAGTCACCAGGACCCCGGCCCCCCAAGGGCAACAACAATCCTGATCTGACCCTCAATGAAATGGAGTTTGACACCCCTGCTCTAGCTCATGTTCAGTCAGCTTCATCCCTCATGTTCCTTCAGCAGAGCTCTGGATGTCTCTTGATCCTTTTCAGCTCCCTCAATTGAATCCTGGGGCCTGTTGGGAATAATGGACCAAGAGAGGTTCCATGTGATTGATCCTTTCCAAGGCCTCAGTAGCTTTCCTATTCCAGGTAGTGGCCAAGGCCTCAGAAGGACCATGGAGCAGAGCCTGGGGTATAATCCTTAGTTCCCTTTGGAACCCCATCAGTCACTAAGAGTGGACTGACCAAAGAGATCCTGCCTCCCTGCAGACAGAGGCAGCATAAAACAACTTCAAAGCCATCAGGCCATGATCTGGCCAGGACAAAGGGGACAAGGATAGCTCCTCCTCAGATCAGGTTGGAAGTGGTCTGTTTTGAGTTGAGCCATGAATGATGGTGGCCATGTTGAAATGCTTCTAAGGGCAGCCCCAGGGATGGCAAATGGACATCTCTCAAGACCATAAGTCTGGGGAACCCCACAGTCAACTGTGAAATGCCCTCCAGAGGCTCAGACATGGAAGTTGCTAGGCAGCAGGGAGGCTGGTACAGTAGTAATGATGCCAACTGGTCCTGTGAATGAATCTTCAGGAAAAGAATTTCAGGCCTGGCAATTTGGGGAGCAGCACCCCAAAAGACCAAAAGAGACACCCGGATGACAATTGCTACCCTTAGGTTACAGCAACAGAAATTTGCAAGTCTTCCCAAAAAAATTGCAGTTAATATCCTGAGATTCTTCATCAAATTCCATTTCTACCTTGTGCCATATTCCCAAGTATCCCTCATATTATCTGACCAAAGGAGGGCATAAGCCAAAATCCATCTTGTGTGCAGGGGTCACTTTCATGTAGGTCAACAACACAACTTCCCCATGACTCCATCTGCTCTGTGAATTACAAGAAGAGACACAAACATGTCTTCCATTCTGCTGTATGAAGAGAAGCTGTTGCTAAGGGGATAGGACAATGGCTCTTCCCTGCAATTATCACAAGAACAGTCATTCTTCATGTATCCCCTGTGGATTTCTACACACAAAGCTCTTCCAGGATGAAACTTGCTTTAAACCATATCTCTGAGTTCACAAGAGGCTGAACGTGTCACCTTAGCCTGTCTTGCAAAGAGCTCACTCCTGGGTTTGAAGAGACTCCCATGCCTTTGTTTCCTCTATGGTCACAGCCCAAACTCAGGTAAGAGGAAGCATAGTTGCTATAAATTTGTCCTGGTGCCATCCAGGTGGCACAGGTGGTGTCTGATCTGCTAAAGCTCCAGTGAGATTTCAGGAGCAACCTTCAAATCAGTTTCTGCATAAACCTTGATTTCTGTTCTAGGAGGGAAGGTGATAAGAATGACATGGCAGGAGTCATGCTGCTTCTGATGCTGATGCTCTTCTGGCTCCAGGCTCCAACTACAGCAAAGAGGCTGCAAACCATATGTGAGCTCAGAGATTATATCGATTTAAAGGAGAGCTACTATAGGCCTGGTGATCTCATTATTGGTGGGAATTTGCCCGTGGGAACCATTTATAAATCTCCTGTCCTAGAGTTTATTGAAGTGAATAGTCATCCCCAGAATGAGTAAGTCTCAACTGGAGGGGAAACATGCAGATAATGATTTTCTTTGCTTTAAATTCGGGGACTGTTTTTACAAATACAACTTCTAGTAATTGTACTGTCCTGGTGTAGTGCACATGTTGCGCTTTTCTCGATAAAATAGCAAGCTCTTCAAATAAACTTGGATTCTCAATCTCTTCATCAGGAAGATGATAAAACTACAAAAATAAGGAGGGAAGCTATGCTGACCTAGTAAAGAAGTCAAATTATAATATTAATCTGACTAGTAACTTCTGGTAGAAAATTCAAATAAAAGGTCAACACTCTTCCAGTGTTCAGGAGTTACAAAAATCCCTCTCAGTCTTGGAATCAGCATTGCTCCTGAATAATGACCTTCAGTAAATCTATTAAGTGACCCCCACTGTAGTCCTGTGCTCAGCAATCCTTACCACACCTGAAGAAGCTGCTCCAAGAGGGACCTTAAATAATTACTGTGAAAGGGGAGCAATTGGAAAGGATTACAGCCACTGCAGCAAAGTGAATATGGCAGGGATGATAGAGAGCATAAAACAGTCCGTAATATCTATGGAAAGTCTTGTCTCCTTTCTTACAAAGGCATCCAAGTTTAACCAAGGTAAACCCAAACCCAAAGAAAATTGGGAGTTTCTGCCCTCAAAGTTCTCCCCAATCAGTGAAGCAAATTCTACAGCCATGCACAAGCTTTCCTGTAATGTTCTCCAATCTTTTTCTCACTGCAGACTCATCACCAGTAACTACCAGCAGTTCCTTGCATTGATGTTTGCTGTCTTCCAGGTCAATAAGGATTTTCTTCTGCTCCCCAACATCACCCTTGGCTTCCACATCTATGGCCATTACCAGAGGGAGATATTTATTTCCTTTAACAGCCTCTCCATGCTCTCCTCACGAGGCCAGGTGGTTCCAGGTTACAAATGTCACCTGCAGGACACTCTGCTCTCTGTCATTGGTGATCTCAATGCCAAATTCTCAAGGCAGATGGCCTCCATCTTCAGCACTTTTAAGGTCCCACAGGTAAGAGAGCTCTCTTGGATACAGTATGGAGTAGACAAAGGTCAAAACATACAAATAAACCAAGATGAAATTAAAGGTAGTTTGGGGGAGGCACATCATGAGTCTGTGACTCTTCGTTTATTCTTCATAAAAGGGTAGCCATCATTTTAGTGACATTTATTCTCTGTATCAGGTTGTTGGTTTCTTCTCTTGTCTTCTGACATACCACAACCAGTCAAGATGTGGAAGTGGTGGCTCTCCCTAAGAAGGGAAGGAGATGAAGCTTGCCACTGAGAGTGAGTCAGCCTGACTGGTGGAGCAAAAGCCACACAATGGTGACTCCTAAAGTTGCCCTAAGACTTTACTTTGTCTTTGAAAGATGAATCTCATTGTTTTTCAGCTCGGTGTTGGCTTTGAGTTCTCTCAGGGAGAGAGAAGAGTTTATCCTTCCTTCTTCCATATTAATCCCAAGGAATCTCCTCAGTATGTGGGTTTAGTCCAGCTGCTCCTGTATTTCCAGTGGAACTGGGTTGGGCTTTTTGCTCCTGAAGATGACAGCGGAGAACATTTCATCTCAACTCTGATGCCAATGCTCCAGGAGAAGGAGATCTGCCTGGCCTTCACTGAAATGTTGAAATCAGATCATCTTGAGTTTGTATTGAACAAATTACTTCTCAATTTCGAGACTTGGTCAAACACTGAAGTGATTATTCTGTTTGGAGACTATGTAGTTTAACTGTACAGCATTTTTTAGCTTACCATGAAAAATTGATCAAGACAGCATTGCAGAATGTTTGGATCTTAACCTCCCATTGGAAACTTAGTCTGGGTGAATCTGAAGACACATTGCTATTTCTAAAGCCTTTCCATGGAGTCTTGCATTTCAGGGACCACACCGGGGATGTCTCAGAATTCAGCCATTTTGTTCTGTCTTTAGACCCAATGAACCCACAAGGGGATGTAATTCTCCCTCCATGGTGGGAAAATGTCTTTGACTGCAAGATTCACCAACCAGGCAAGATCCCTCCAAAGGGGGAAAAACAATGTACAGGAAAGGAGAATGTGCAGAATCTGCCCAATTACACTTTTGAAACAAGCATGACAGCTGAAAGTTACAATATCTACAATGCCATTTATGCTCTGGCACATGCTTTACATGCAATGTATGGATCCAGAGCCCGACCAACCATGATGAGGCTTGGAAAGAGGATCTCCAATGTCCAGTCATGGCAGGTAATTTCTGTGGCTTCCTTAGAAAGGAAAACATATTAAAAGCAATTATTAGAAAGATTTGAAAAAAGAATAATGTTTTGTTGGAAGAGGTTAGAGAGAGGGGAAAAGAGAAGTAAACCAAACCAGCTGTCCACCTGCTAGGTTAGCTAAAATGTTTAAAAATATGTCTAGCAAATGTTGGAAATGTAATCAAAAGATGGGCACATTTTATCATATGTGGTGGACTTGTGCTAAAACTAAATGATTCTGGGTAAAAATACACAGATGGCTAGAAAAGATAATACAGAAACATATAGATTTTAAACCTTTTTATTATGGATGATACAAGAAAAATTTGATCAGAAAAGTATGCATTTAGTATTATATGTCTTAACAGTAGCGAGGATTATATTTGTAGAACATTGGAAAGATAAAGAAACTCTGCAAGAGGAAGAGATAATTAAGAAGATACCAGACTGTGCAGAAATGGATAGATTTACTTGCAAATTAAACAGAAAGAAAACACAGAATATTATCAAACATGGAACTTATTTTACCAGTGGTTGGAAAAAAGGAGTGGAGAGTAAAAATGGAATCTATATTGTTAAGCAAATTAAATACCCAGATAACACTATGTTTATTAAGCATTAAGAAATGTAATTAATACAAAATTAATAAAATTTATTACAAAAAGAAAAAAGAAGAAAGAGCTTTGTAAAGTCCTGTGAGGCTTCAATGTTTGCCAGAGTTTCAGGAGGTAACCATGACAGGGAGTAGATGTCAGCTGAGACCAAAAGAACAAGATGGCTGTGTTTGAGAAAGAAGCTTCCAGAAGTCAGTAGAAGTCCTAGTTGGCATATTTGCAGAACACCCTCTGTTGCCCTGAGCATGGAACCCAAATCCAACTTGTAAAAAGACACTCAATTCCTTTTAACCTTGGTTTATGTTTCTATAGTTTAACATCCTCTGTGACCCCACCCAATTTGTCCAGTTTTACATTTATTGCACTGCTCAGGTTGTAGTGTGAATGCAGCAAATCTTGGTCCACCTGAGCACATATAGCAGGACTCAAAATAGTCTTAATGGGTTGTTTGTCTCAAACCCATCAGACTTTTCTGGATAGACGTTGAACTTCTCTGAACAGTGAAGGGACAAACCAGGGCGAGCCCTTCCTTTTCCTTGACTCCATTTCATCAAACATGGTTCCTGCATTGTGCTCTGTTCAATTCTCAGACAGAGAAAATCAGAGGAATTGTATTCTCTTGCCATACAAATTATTTAATCATTGCTAAAGTGAATTTATCAGCTACAAGACCTCAGGACAAAGGAAATATTGAAAATTAAATGTAGATAAGTATCACAGGAGGAAAAGCATTTGATTAATTTTGGAATGTAGCACTAAAATCTTTCAATGTACTTATTCTGATAAAGCTTGATTTGAAGAAACCATGATACAAAGGACCAAAGAAAAACCATTTGTAGTTTCAGAGTTAAATATTTGGTGTTACTGCAGATTCCTCAGTTCTCCACCAAGGGAACTCCTCTAGCTTTTCAGACATGAACTCATCTTCTCAAGATGGTCACCATGTTCTGATAGAAGCCATAATCATAGTAAAGGTAAAGGTAAAGGTTCCCCTCGCACATATGTGCTAGTCATTCCCAACTCTAGGGGGTGATGCTCATCTCCGTTTCAAAGCCAAAGAGCCAGCGCTGTCTGAAGACGTCTCCGTGGTCATATGGCATGATTAAACACCAAAGGCGCATGGAACGCTGTTACCTTCCCACCAAAGGTGGTCCCTATTTTTCTACTTGCATTTTTTTAAGTGCTTTTGAACTGCTAGGTTGGCATAAGCTGGGACAAGTAACGGGAGCTCACTCCATTACATGGCACTAGGGATTTGAAACTCTGAACTGCCGACCTTTTGATTGACAAGCTCAGCATCTTAGCCTCTGAGCCACCACATCCCTTTTATAACCATAACCATAGTTCTAACCAAATACTCCTATTTATAAAGGTCTCTTTTATTTCAGATTCTTGCCTATTTGAGGAATGTGCAGTTCAACAACAGTGCTGGAGAGGAAGTATCCTTCTCAGAAGATGGACTGGGATCTGCTCGTTATGATCTTCTCAACTGGGTTTTCCTCCCCAATCAATCTTTTGTCCCCATGAAGGTTGGGCAAGTAAATCCTGAGGCTCCCCCAGGCCACGATTTCACCATTAACTCTGATGGAATCGCCTGGGCCACAAAGGTGAGCTGCAAGAAAATATTATAAGTTCATGGAAAGATTCATTCTCTTCCTGAGTTGCAGAACATGTTTCTGATATGAAAAATAATTGAGTAAGACATTATGGCAGTTATTTGGTGAAAAATCTGCTTTGCATGTAGCACATTTGAGGTCTGATTTGTGTCATTCCACAAAGAGTTAGGCTTGGGAACAACGTCTGCTTGAAATGCAGGATGCAATTACAGGAAGCAACAGTCATTTCTATGGACCATTGATGCTCAGTTGTATCCTCCTGGTTCTTTCTTTTAGAAATGCTGTGGTTCAGTCACAAGCCTTCCTCTGCAGGCTGAGATCCCAGTTCCAATCTCCAGCATCTGTTGGTAGGTTGGGAGTGCCACTGGCCTGAATCCCCCAGCAGCTGTTCCTGGTTTTTGATAGACAAGGATGAACAATTTTGTTAGAAGAGATTCTGAAGATAGAAATGGGAATGTGGGAACAAATTAAAGAAGGAAGTTCATTGCTTAGGTCATTTCAAATATTTCTCTTTCAGACCATCCCCTTTGCCAGGTGTGGCATGAAGAGGTGCCATGAAGGAGAGAGGAGAAGAGTTCCAGAGGGAAAGTCAATTTGCTGCTACCAGTGTGACCCTTGTCCAAAAGGGACATTTTCAAATCAGACAGGTAGAACAGACTTCAAAAGTAGATTTTCCAAGACCAATGAAGGCATTCATTAAATCTGTTTTGTTTATTGTGATCATTTTTGATATGATTGACATGCACTCGTACTTTTCAGCAAAAACTTTCAGTTGATGGATCTAAATTGCCCTGGCCACAGAGGCCACCTTTCCCAATCCTCAGCAGTTCCATGCAGGATAGTTTTAGGGCAGAATTTATGAATCTCCAACTTGCATTTCAACTCCTCGTCTAATATCTGAAATCCAAATTCTAATCTTTTCCTGAGGAAGTGGGGTTTTCAGTCCAAGCTTTAATTCTTATTACTTAGGGCATGTTTCATCCATCAATGCTATGGGGAAACTCTGAGGAAATAGATCTGCCAGAGAAAGAGGAGATTTATCTATCTGTGTCTTTTTGATAGAGTAGGAGCAATCAAATAAGTCTGAATGAACACATTTGAAGCACAAAGCAGAGAGGTTAAGGCAGGGATCATGTACAGATAAACAAATAGCAACATTCCTGGATAACAGGTCTATCGATCTTCTGTGGGTTCCATTATAAAGTAGGGGAGAAAACAGGCAGCAATCTCAAACTGAAAACCACATTACTCGTGGAAGTCCACAGTGAATGGATAGCTGAAACTGAACTAATCCTCGTCACTGGCTAATCTATCCTAGAATCATTATAAATGCAGCATGATTTCCTTGAATGAATGAATTCTTAAACAAAAATTCTTGATTTCAGATGCAGCTCAATGTGAACCCTGCCTAAAAGACCAATATCCCAGCAAGGACAAGGACCAATGCATTGCCAAGAAGATCCACTTCCTTGCCTATCAAGACACCCTGGGATACACATTAGTTTCTCTCACTCTTTTTCTCTCTGTCACAACATCTGCAGTCCTGGTGATTTTCTATAAACATCATGACACACCAATAGTCAAAGCCAACAACCGAGATCTCACCTACATCCTGCTGGTCTCCCTCCTGCTCTGTTTCCTCTGCTCCTTCCTCTTCATTGGTCGACCAGGGAAGCTCACCTGTCTCTTCCAACAGTCTGCCTTTGCCATTCTCTTTTCCCTGGCAGTTTCCTCTGTGTTGGCAAAAACTGTCATGGTGGTTCTGGCCTTCATGGCCACCAAGCCTGGAAACAGGTCAAGGAAACTCTTAGGAAAACCACTGACTAACTCTATTGTCTTAGCCTGTCCCATGGTCCAAGCACTTCTTTGTGCCACATGGCTGACAACTTCTCCCCCATTTCCTAACTTGGATTTCCACTCCTTGTTTGGAGAGATCATCTTGGAATGTAAGGAAGGTTCAGCTTTAATGTTTTACATTGTCCTCATCTATCTAGCTTTTTTGGCCTTCATCAGTTTCACAGTGGCATTTCTAGCTAGGAAATTGCCTGATAGTTTTAACGAAGCCAAGTTCATTACTTTTAGCATGCTGGTCTTTTGCAGTGTTTGGATCAGCTTTCTCCCCACCTACGTGAGCACCAAAGGGAAGTCCATGGTGGCCATGGAGATCTTCTCCATTTTGGCCTCTGGAGCTGCTCTCTTGGCTTGTATCTTTTTCCCCAAATGCTACATTATTCTGCTGAGGCCTGATCTGAATTGTAGAGAAAATATAGTAAGAAACAAGAATTTCTAACTAATGCCGGGATCTGCCTCATTTATATTTCTCTTTGTGGCATGTTTAGAATATGATGTCATCAAAGATGAAGCTGTCTATCTAGACCCGCTCCAGTCCGGCTTCCGGCCTGGGCACAGCACGGAAACGGCATTGGTCGCGTTGGTGGATGATCTCTGGAGGGCTCGGGATAGGGGTTGTTCCTCTATCCTGGTCCTGTTAGACCTCTCAGCGGCTTTTGATACCATCGACCATGGTATCATGTTGCACCGGTTGGCGGGGTTGGGGGTAGGGGGCACCGTTCTGCGGTGGTTCTCCTCCTACCTCTCTGACCGGTCGCAATCTGTGTTGACGGGGGGGCAGCGGTCGACCCCGAGGCACCTTGCTTGTGGGGTGCCACAAGGGTCGGTCCTCTCGCCCCTTCTGTTCAACATTTATGTAAAGCCTCTGGGTGAGATCATTCGTGGCTTTGGGGTGGAGTTCCATCAGTACGCTGATGACACCCAGCTGTACATCTCCACCCCAGGCCACCCCAACGATGCCCTTGAAGTGATGTCCCAGTGCCTGGAGGCCGTGCGGTTCTGGATGGGGAGAAACAGGCTCCGACTCAACCCCTCCAAGACCGAGTGGCTGTGGCTTCCAGCGTCCCGATATAGCCAGCTGACGCCATCGCTGGCTATTGGGGGCGAATTACTCGCCCCCGCGGAGAGGGCTCATAACTTGGGCGTCCTCCTGGACGCACGGCTGTCTTTAGAAGACCATTTGACAGCCGTGGCCAGGGGGGCTTTTTATCAGGTTCGCCTGATACGCCAGTTGCGTCCCTTTCTAGATCGGGACTCTCTACGCACAGTCACTCAGGCACTAGTCACTTCCCGCCTGGACTACTGCAACGCTCTCTACATGGGGCTGCCCCTGGGGTGCACCCGGAGGCTCCAGCTGGTCCAGAACGCGGCCGCGCGGGGGATTATGGGGGCGACGAGGCGCTCCCATGTGACACCTCTCCTGCGCGAGCTGCACTGGCTCCCGGTGGTCTTCCGGGTGCGCTTCAAGGTGTTGGTGACCACCTTTAAAGCGCTCCATGGCTCAGGACCAGGGTACTTACGAGACCGCCTTCTGCCACCAATAGCCTCCCACCGACCAGTATGCTCGCACAGAGTGGGCCTCCTCAGGGTGCCGTCCACCAGACAATGTCGGCTGGCGACCCCCAGGGGGAGAGCCTTCTCTGTGGCAGCGCCCACCCTCTGGAACAACCTTTCCCCAGAGTTACGTACAATAACAGACCTCCGGATTTTTCGTCGGGCCCTGAAAACTTATTTATTTCAACTAGCTGGGCTGGCTTGACTTAATTTTAGATTGATTTTAAATTGGGTTGTTTTAATTTACGGCCAAAATATTTAAATTATTTTAATACTGTTTTTTAAATTTTGTATGCTCTGTTTTTACTCTGGCTGTGCACCGCCCTGAGTCCTATTTGGAGAAGGGCGGTATAGAAATTTAATAAATAAATAAATAAATAATAAATAAATAAAGAGTAATTTCTCCATTAAAAAATTCCTTATCAAATGCTGCAACTGGTTAGAATTTACCTGTGGTCAACAGCAATCACCCAGCCTTTTGTTTATCATGCCTTCAAAATATCCTCGTGTTGTCCAGTGCCTGATGTTGATGCAAACCTAGTTATTAAAGATGTATTCATTATTTCAAGGAGGACATTTTCTCATTCCATTCTTTTTAATTTAATTATGTTTTAAAATAGTCTTTTAAAGAGTTGGTATCAGAGCTTTTAGGCCTATATGGTTGTTTCCTTAGATTCCTGAGGCTTTATAGAGTTCTCTACCAGTATTCAGTTCTTTTTAATAACATCTCCCTTTCCATAAAATGGTCTCTCGTGTGGGAAATAGAAAGAGTGGAGGAATGTGTGCAAATTGTCCCATAAAATAGCAAACTCAAATTCTCTGATTTTCAATAAGCTTTATCAAAATTTCTATGGCAACCTAACTGACATACTTTTTTATTAAGACAATATTTCTCTGTTGAAGATAATAACAATAGAAGAGTGGCAACATAATTGATAGTTTGTTAATTATGAATAGGTATGCTTACATCATCTTATGCATAAATCATTTTCTCCTTCTTTCTCAAATGTATAAATATGAGTGCAATCTTTGCTCTTCAAGAGTTCCTCCCACTATTCTCTGGAGAAAATGTATCCTGGGCACACTCTTAACAAGCAATACTGCTCTGAGACTTGATTATTGGTTTTTGGTCCTGCATTTGAAGCCTGAAGGCTTAAGCAGTTGTAATAGCTGCATAAACATGACAGATTGTGCTTGTTTAGCAACAATGATGAAATAGTAACTTTGCAACCCAACACACTGATGGGAATGGGACAATTGGCTGCAGTCACCTTGCCCCGGCCATCTCACCCCAGCCTCCCCATTTCAGCTAACTCACCATAGCCACTCCTCACCATCAGTCTCTCCCTGGTAGCCTTCCCCATCAGCCCCCCCCCCCCCCCGCTGATTCTCTCTAGCCACCCCTCCCCAGCCACTCTCCCCCACTGCCTCACCCTGGGTGATACATTGTAGTACAAATTGCTCTGGCAGATTTGCAACATCGGACAATTAGCCCTGTGTGTCTCAACTGTTCCCAGAAAAAAACCATTCTCAGAAGGTCCTTCCCACTGCACCAACCTCCTCTTCCTCTATTGACTCCTGGAATTGGGGCCCATTCCCCATTTTTTTCATTGCCCCCCACATGAGAATCACTCTCAGCAAAGAGGGATCGGGGCCATGTGGGTTGCAGACAGTAACAGGCTCTAGGTCAGATCTGCCATAAAGGATGAGAGGGGGGAAATAGGGAAGGGGGGAATGACAGGAAACATAACAGGCAACCAGAGACAATGACTGAACGATCCAAGGACAGAGGCATGGGAACAGAATGCAAAGGGCCACCAAACAGGCCTCAAACTTTAGAAACCAAGACAACTAATTTTAACCTCATTGGACACTAACAAGATGACATATGGGGGAGGGCCTGGGAGTAGGGAAAATCACATGGTTTATACAGGAATCTTCAGATCTGGCTTTGCTTACGCTGTAACCACTTGACTTTTAGTAAAAGTATACCCAACTCTACAAATAGAGTCAAGGATTTTTCTTTCCTAAATGTCTAAGCTGGGACAGGCCTGACATTCTGTCCACCAGCAAGGCCAGCAAAGGCATTATGCAACCGGTGGTCCCAACTGGAGAGCCATAGATGATGCTTCCTAAATTAAAGGCTCTGTCACTCCAGGAGAGATTGAATTATTTTCCCTCCCAGATAGTTGTACAGAGAGCACAGTCCTGCCCTGCATTGACAGCAGGCTACAGCTTGTGGGCCCCTCTTTGCAAACTGCACACCTCAGGCCACGGAATTGATCAGCAAACCGAAGCACTGAATTGGCTGCTGAATGGTGAGAACAGAAGCTGTCCGGCCTACATGCTCACCTTATGCATTTCCACCAAATTTGGGCAGCTCAAAGGGAGTCAAAAGGCAACCATGATCACTCCTGCCACAGCCTGGGGTATCCAGTTTGCAAAGAGGGGAGCATCAACCATTGCAGCTAGGGAGGGGTGAATGCCATGGGTCAGCTGGGGTGAGGGGGCTGGGATGAAGTGGATGTAGCCAATTGTCCTAGACTACACATTGACAATGTTCACAGGTCTGTAAAGCATAAAAAATGATGTAATTCCATAAGTGATGGGACAGATTCGCTTAGCAAGCACTTCCAGCATGATTTTGGTAGCAGCCACCAGTGGCCTCATTCAGTTGTGGTCCCTTGGAATATGGTGGCCGCTTCTGTCATTGCACCATGTGGCCTTGTGACAAAGTGATTCGTTCTGCTTCCCTCTGGCTGTTTGTGCAGCATTGCAGAAAACTCTGGAGCTCCAGCGAAGGTGAAGTTTCAGGTGGGGGTCAACAACGGTGATTTCATTTATTTATTTTATTTTCCGAGTGCAGAACATCTTACAATAAAAGGAGAAAATGTGCTATTTAAAATTGGCCTATTGATCTAAATAAACCAAAAACCAAAAACTATACAATCAATATAAAAATTAAACACAGAAGGAGTTTAAAACCCTTATGTGACATTATACAGGCTGTCCTCGTTCAAAGTTACAAAGGCACTGAAAAAAGTGACTTATGACTGTTTTTCACACTTATGACCATTGCAGCATTCCCATGGGCATGTGGTCAAAATTTGGGCCCTTGGCAACTGGCTCATATTTATGACGGTTGCAGTGTCCCAGGGTCCTCTTTTCTGACCTTCCAACAAGCCAGGTCAATGGGGAAGCCAGATTCATTTAACAACCATGTCATTAACAGGGGGGCATGGATCTAGTTCACAGGTGGTCACAACTACATCCCATGGACTCTGTCGACATCCTTGGGATCAGCCGGATCAAACTGTTCCTAAATTACTGCAAAAGTCCTTTCCCCAGCCTTCTCCATAGGATCCACACCATGCTTGGCCTCCAACTGGGAAGAGATCCAAGCAATTTTATCAACCAGAATTCCTCTGTGAGTGTGAGAAAAAAAATTCCCTCACAGTTGCTGTGCCTATTAATGGCCTTTGGCTTAGATAATTGAATAGGCCAATCAGAGTGCAGCTCCTGGGTTTGAATCTCCGGGGCTTTTTCTATGCCTTCCCTAACTGTCACTAACTGTCACTAACTGTCAGCATATAAGGAGCTGCTTGCCAGCAGGCTAACCCAGTTCGGGATCAGAGGCAGAGCTGAAGTCACCAAAGCCTCTCCCTTCTGAGGAAGAAAGGCCCAAACTCCAATCGTGCAGGGCGATTGGAGAAAGAGCTGACAAGATACTTAAGGAAGAGACTGACAACTGATATTCTGTTGAATAGGCTTTGTTTATTTTCGTAAATAAAACAGTTTAGTTTAAAAATCTTCGTGAGGCTCATTTATTTAATAGATTGTAAACATATAAAGTTACGGTCCACCATCTTTATAACATCCTGTGAGGCCTGAAGGAAAACCTACACATGACCTGTCAGATGTAAATGCCTTATTCCCTAATGTGTAAATAATGTATATATGGGATATCAGGGGTTAACTTATTCTTTGACTCTTAATGTATTCATAATTCACCACTCCCACTCTTGGCTCCACCCTTTGTATATATAAGGAGCCACCTTCACCATTTTCTTTGCTTCTATCTGTGAATATTCAGTGAATATAGAATGCCTATTATAATTAAAGAGAAATATATTTAAACCTCTAACTCTCATTATTATTATTGAGTCTGATCCTAAAAATATTGCAACAAGCTGGTAGCAGAGGATGGTTAATTGACTCAATAAATACCTAAAAATGTCTAAGAAAGATAGGCCCAACACCAGGGCCTACAGCAAAGAAATAGAAACTGAACAAGAAATAATCAACGAATCCACAAACGCGATTTCGAGAGAATCCGAAGAATACACCACTGAAGAAGAAGAATTAATAAATGAAAATGATGGCCAGGAGGAAATCGAAATAGAAAATAACGAACTCAGGTCAGAGATATTGAAGTTATTAAAAAGCCAGAAGAATGATGAAAGCCTCATCGCGAACCTCCAAGAAATGCTGAAGAACAGCGGAGCAGCGAGAGAGAAAAACATCGCTAAAGAGAAACCCAAAGACCAAAAAACTGTGAGTGATATGACTACAGAGAAAGTCGTTATGAAAAAGAAAAAATGTGATCCCGCGCGAAATTTTGAATGGCAGCCATCTTGGTTTCAACAAGCCTCCAAAGTGAGCGAAGCAGAGCCAATCAAAATGCTCAGTTCAAAATTTCTGGCGCGAAAAACGTTATCAGACAACGAAAGTGAAAAGGAGGATTCAAACTCTTCGGAAGAGCCAGAATCAGAAAATGAAGACGACTTAACGAAATCCCAAGTAAAGTCAGCAATGAAGACGCTTTTTGCTGCATTTGGGCCAAAATTAAAAATTTCCAAAGCGCCAACGAAGAAGCAAGCGAACAAGCCGATACTTCAAGACCTGCACGCTCCCATCCTGACTTCGAGAGCGACGACGCCCGAGCCCAGAGAGCCATGTCGATTCCACCCTACACCGCAGACCGAAGCAAGTGCCAACGCACCCAAAAGAAAGAGAAGAACAGTCGCCGCCATCAGAACTCCTAAGACCGAGCCAGAGACCGACTCGTCTGAAGAGGAGCGGAGCGAGCGAGCTACAATGGAGAGAACCTTCCACGACGACGTCAAAGAAGAAATGAACAACGCGCATGTGCGAAACTACGTAGACGGTCCGGAAAGACTTGAACTGGCCAGAGAACCGCGCAGACTCGTTGCGAGCATCCCCATGCCGTTTTGCAATTTCCTACACTTGCGAGACCACGGACTACCTCAGGTTGTAAGTAATGGACAAAATAATGTGGGTAACTTACCCAGTGACTTCCCAAAACTTAGGGTTGATGGCATTAATTTACAAGAATGGTATCAACAGCTCCAGGTTGTCTTTATGAAAGAAAATTTACTATTTTTTATCACTAGTCCCCCAAGAAGACCTTGGACTTTAAAAATAGATTGTTTACACCATAAGGCATTTTTCTTAATAATATCTAGCGTGTCTCCTGCAATGTATCATAGCATCAAACCAAATCTAACTGTTTCAGAAATAATTCAATGCATGTTTAATTTGTTTCACAGCGATAGTGTAGCTACCACCACAAGAATGTCTAAGGACTTCTTTTCTTCCAGAGTAAAACCAGGGGTTTCCATAAGTGAGCATTTAATATCTTTAAACAAAATAAGAGCTGAGCTGCATTTGAGGGGGGAAGTGATTTCAGATCAAACAATGAAAAGTGTTATTATCAACTCACTTGATTCATCATGGGATAGTTTTATGTCACACTTAGACACCATCAATCTAGGATATTTATCAATAGAAAGTCTGTCTAACAAATTGATAGCAGAAGACAATTCAAGAAAAAATCGTTATAGCAATCACACAGAACACAAATCTTTTAGGAAGGTAGCTTTCCAAGAAAAATATAATGAAACTTTTAAATGCCACAATTGTGGGTCCAGGGAACACAATAGAAGAGATTGTCCCAAAATTTCAAAGGAAAGACATAGGTCAGAATATAGGAATAAATACAATTATAGACAGTCTTCCACAGATAGACATAAATATAGAAGCCCACCAAATTACAGAGAAAGTAGAGGGGGCAGAGAAAATTCAAAAGAGAGAAAATCTGGTTCACTGAATGGACTAAATAAACAAGACAGCACTAAAACGCAACAAAATGAGAACAATAATTGGCTTATTGATTCTGGGGCAACTAATCACACCACTAATAACAAAAATATATTGTCTTCATTTACAGAAGATAAGTTTGTAATAAAGGTAGCTAATCAAGAAAAAGTTCAAGTATTAGGCAGAGGGAATGTGACCTTGCCTGGTCTAGGAAAAATAGAGGGGGTATTGTTAATACCAGAAATACCTCATAACATACTAAGTGCCATAAAACTAAGCAGAGATTCTGACATCAATATAGTTTTCTCAAAGGGAAAAGCAACTTTAGAGAAGAATAAAACAAATGTAGGCACTGTGATGATTAAAGGAGGCCTACCCTATCTGATAACAAAAGAAAGATGGTTACATAACATTGATTCAAATATGGAAGATTGTATTGAGGCAGATGATGAAAATATTAGTAACAGTGACAATGATGAATGTAAAATATCTCATGATCACACAGATACACACAATGAGAAGAAACCAAAAATAGGTAAACCAATTCATGACGAGTGTGCTCATATCTTACATAGGAAGTTAGGACATGCAAGTTTTCCTGTAGTACAAAAAATGACTGAACACGCAGAAGGTGTCAAAATAAAAAATTGTGAAAATTATTTGGAATGCTCAGTATGTAAATCTACTAAACTAAAAACTAGTCCCAGGCCAAAAAAATCCACCAGATCAACTAACAAAATTTTTGACTTAGTACACATGGACTTAGTTGGCCCATTAACCCCATCAATCACTTATAGAAAACGTTACTTCCTAACAATAGTAGACGATTACAGTCGCTATGGTTTTGTTTACACATTAAAACACAAGGATGAAACCTTTCAAAAATTTAAGGAATTTTACAAACGCATAGAAACACAACATAATATCAGAATAAAACAAATTATGACAGATAGGGGATGTGAATTCATGTCTAAAGAATTCTCCCAATGGTTAAAGGATAGAGGAATGCTACATTACACGTCTAGTCCATTTTCTGCGTTCCAGAACGGGATTGCAGAGAGAAAGAATTCCACATTACAAACCATGATTAGGTGCACATTAGAGGATGCTGGTTTAGGCAAACAATTTTGGTCAGAAGCCCTACATTATTCAAATTACACTCAAAATAGAACCTGGTCCAGTATTGTGAATAAGACACCATATGAGGTGATGTATAATAGGAAACCAAAATTAGCACACATGCACATATTTGGGGTCACTGCAGACGTACACATACCTAAACAGTTGAGAAGAAAGGGAGAAAACGTATCCAGAAGACTAAGATTTATGGGATATGAAACTGGCACCAAAGGGTACAGATTCATTGATAATAATAACAAATTTATAGTTTCCAGAACAGCTGTGTTCCATGAACAGGCCAACTGGTCTAAATTACATCTTAATGAAATATTTCCAAATAAATGCAAAGATACCAAATCTCGTGAGGAAGGGACAATAGAAAATCAAAATGTCAACAAAAATAAAAACAAAACCAAAACATGGACAAATAGTCAACACAAAATAAAGACAGACACATTAACAAAAAAGGAAGCAAGATATTTGCATGACTACCATAGCAAACCAGAAAGAGCTATTAGGAACAACAGAAATCAAATACCAAATAAATACAGAGATTACATAATGCATATGGATGGTGAACAAATAACACCTAATACATATGAGGAAGTATTAAAACTCCCTCGTGAAGAAAAGGAAAAATGGGAACTAGCTATGAAAAAAGAGATGGAAAGTTTGCAAGGATTAAATGTATTCACACCTGCGATTGCACCTAAAGATAAAACAATTATTGGTACCAGGTGGATTTATAAAATTAAGAACCTAGAAGGAGGCAATACCTTATACAAAGCTAGATTGGTTGCACAAGGTTATGCACAAAAATATCCGGAGGACTATACTGACACGTACTCCCCCACAGTAAGAACAGAGAGTGTTAAAACAGCTCTAGTAGTAGCATCCGCACTCAATCTTGATGTATTTCAATATGACATACAGACTGCGTACCTACACGCAAAACTAGATAAGGAAATATATGTAAGAGCACCTCACAGTCAATACACTAATAAAAATGAAATTTGGCTATTGAACAAGAGTTTATACGGATTAAAGCAATCTGGCAAAAGATGGTACGATTGCTTGGTAAAAGTACTTAAGACCATGGATTTCAACGCTACCACTGCTGATAACTGTTTCTTTGTCAAAAAGAGTGATGATCACATTGAATTTGTATTGATTTATGTAGATGATATTTTATATATAGGAAAACACAAAGAGAGAAGAGAAATCTTTGTAAACAAGCTAAATGAACATTTCTCGTTGAAATCTCTAGGTAAAGTAAACAAATACCTTGGTGTACAAATTAACAAAACTAGAAGGGGATTCAAACTTACTCAGAAAGATAAGATTATTGAACTTCTAAACAAATGCAATTTAAACAATGCCAAACCCTGTGACACTCCTATGCAAACTGATTTCCTTAGAAATACTGATGAATCTTCCCCTGAATTCAAGGATAATACATTTTATAGATCAGTCATAGGTTCACTTCTTTATATATCTAATTGGACCAGGCCAGATATTGCATTACCACTCAATTTATTATCAAGGCACGTTAGCAAACCAACAATGTATCACTGGGAAGCTGTCAAAAGAATTTTAAGATATCTGAAAAGTACATTAGACTTTTGCCTAGTATTAGAACCTAGTGATAATAAAGAACCAAAACTTACATGTTACGCAGATGCGGATTGGGCTGGAGATATATCATGCAGAAAAAGTACTTCTGGTTATATTTTTCTGTTAAATGACTGTCCAGTTTACTGGTACACTGGTAAACAAGAACTGGTAGCCACTTCAACCACAGAAGCGGAATATGTTTGTTTATCCAAAGCTGCAAATAACCTTGTATGGTTTAATGATTTAATTTCAGATGTTTGGAAAAAACCTGCTTTGCCTTTTGTTATGCATGAAGACAATAAAGCGGCCATTGAAATATCTAGATCCGATGCCATTGGACAAAGATCCAGGCATATAGATATAAAATTTAAGCATGTGAGACAATTGTCTCAAGATGGATTTATCAAAGCAGTGCATTGTGATACCTCTGAACAATTAGCTGACATATTGACGAAGCCTTTACCTTCTAAACAGCACAAATACTTAACTTCCAAATTGTATGTCTTATATTGTCCTGAATCTGAATGTAATTGGTGTTGTATAGCGAACCGGCATTTAGAGGGGGATTTGTCAGATGTAAATGCCTTATTCCCTAATGTGTAAATAATGTATATATGGGATATCAGGGGTTAACTTATTCTTTGACTCTTAATGTATTCATAATTCACCACTCCCACTCTTGGCTCCACCCACTGTATATATAAGGAGCCACCTTCACCATTTTCTTTGCTTCTATCTGTGAATATTCAGTGAATATAGAATGCCTATTATAATTAAAGAGAAATATATTTAAACCTCTAACTCTCATTATTATTATTGAGTCTGATCCTAAAAATATTGCAACATGACCCTTACCCAGAAGGTTCCAGATCATCTTTAAAAAGGCCACGGGTGTCACTCAGTGTTATAAGAAGTGCAAAAAGAATGGAGAAATATTGACATTTTGAGGCTTGTAGTGCCATGAGGTGGGCCTTAATAGAAGCTCTAGCTCAGGTATGTCAAACACAAGGCCCCTCCCACCCCAGTCCACACACAGGAGGGGACGAGTGCACAGGGTCCAACAGCGTCTGGCAGTAGTCACAGCCCATGCTGGGCAGGTGGGTCCAAGCACTGGGACTGCCAGGTTGGCCCTCCAAGCAAAAGGGGGAGGCAGAGCCGTGGGGGGAGGCATGTGATCAGGCCTGCTGAATGCACCAGGTGGCTGCCCACTCACTCACCCACTCTGTCCCACCATTTGTTTTTGCTTGCCCACGGCCATCCCAGCTGGAACAGGGCAGGCAGATGCGTGGCCCCCTTGCAGACCAAATCTCCTGCCTTCCCCCAGGCATCTGCTTCCACCTGCTGTTGCTGCCATCATGGGGCTCAGCCTGTGCTGTCCAAACCTCTTCCTCCAGCTCCACCAGACACATGGGATGAGCCTCCCACCCACTTCCCCACCCGCAATGGCCCCAGTATATGGGAAGGGCAGGGAGACCCATCCCCAAGAGGCAGCCAGGACTCCCCTCCCTACTCTGCCTTGCCTGAGCCCAGCCCCAGAGCTGACCTACATGCCCTACACCAGCGTACATGGGGACCCCACGTCCAGGCCACCCCCATCTCACCCCCTGCCTCGCCTTCAAGCAGTGGCACCAGCAGTAGCAGAGCCCTCCAGCAGGAGCCCCACTGTCCCTCAGCCCCTCCCCCCAGTCCAGGAAGCCCAGACTGGGCAAGGAGAGTGAGCACAGCAGCAGCAGGAGGCAAGTGAGCCCAGGCAGCCCCTCAGGGAAGTAGGGCACGGCTGTGGAGTCCTGGTGCCCTGGGAGCTCAAAGGTCAGATGACTCATGCTGCCATCTGTACCCCCCGTGTGGCCCAAGAGGGTCAGTGAGTCTCCTCCGGTGGATCAGCCTGGTCCCACCCCCCAACATGAGGGACATCAAGCTCGCCATGCCCACCCTGGCCACACCCACCCACAACCACACAGCCATGCCACACCCGGCTCCCCTAAGGGCAACAACAATCCTGATCTGGCCCTCAGTGAAATGGAGTTTGACTAAGGTGACCAGACGTCCCGCTTTTGGCGGGACAGTCCCGCTTTTAAGCAATTTGTCCCGCGTCCCGCGGCGTTTCAAAAAAGTCCCGATTTTTCATTCTGCCTCCTCAGTCCCGCTGCCTCTTGAGCCCCAGCTGATGGCTAGAAGAAAAAAAAACTGTTTAAACTCTTGCCCGGGGCTTCAAAGGGCCGCCCTACAGGCAATCAGTGTAAAGAGTTTTTTTCCCCCCTAGCTAAGCTGCAAAACCGAAACCAGGGTCTTTGGTGCAACGTGACAAAATGAGGCAGAGAGAGATTTATTTTTATTTTTATTTTTCCTCCCCAAAAAAGGTAGGTGAAAAACTGCAAACAATGGGAAATTTAGGAGGAGAGTTCAAGATTTTAAGACACAAAGGAAAAAAAGCTGTATTTAACTAGGGAATTGTAATAATTGAGATACTATTAATTGTATATTGTGTTGAAAGCAGAAATGGTTAAGTTGTGGTTCGGAGGAATATATGGGATAAATTATTTGGTTTATTATTATTGGTAAATATAATTAGTTGATTTGTAAGAAATTGGATTGCATTGAAATAATTGGAATATTCATGTTCATACTGATATACAAAAAAGATAGTTTTATAACTAATTGATTTATATTAAAATGTTGAATTTGTATTAAACAACTGTATTACATAATTACATAATTAAACAATGTGAGGATGGATATAAAAATAGATGACAATGGGAAGGGGTATAATATAGAATAGAAGGGAAAAATTGAATTGGATTAAGATTAGAGATGAGGATGAAGGGTAATATTGGTTTTTTTAAAAAAATAGATGAGGAATAAATATGGCAAAAAGGAAATATAGAAATTGTAAATTTAATTGAAGTGACTAAACACTGTTTAAATTTGTGAACCGGCCAAATACTCTGTTCAAAGAAAATACATTGTATGTTTGTATGTGTGTTTCTAATTACTGCTATTTATTCATATTTGTTCTCTTTTATTCTTTAAAGTTTAACCATTCATTCTTTATCTTAATATCTTTATATTTGTTTGGGGTTGGCTTTCTTCCCTTTCATCTTTTTTATTGTACAGCAATCTTTCTCCTCAAACCTACCACCTCTCTCTTTTCTTTCCTTCTTACTTTCTCTACCCCCCTCTTCTTCTCCTCCCTACTTCCTCTTCCTTTCTCCTTCTCCTCCTCTCTTCCTCCCCCTCTTACCCTCACTCCTACTCTAATTTCCCTTCCCTTCCTTCATCCCTCTCTTTTGCTGTATCCTTTTATGCATATGGACTACTCAGAGGGCTGAAAAAGTTATTTTTGACTGGTCCTCGCACTTTTGACCAGTCCTCGAACTTACGACTGTCTTCACATTTTACGTTTTTTGCCCTATCTTATCACCATGATGAAGAGAAGCAGTTGTGAAATGAGTGACATGGTTGTTAAGAATGCTGCACGGGCATAAATGTGAGGATGGTCATAAGTGTGAGGACCAGTCAAAAGTGCGAGGACCTGTCAGAAATGACTTTTTTCAGCCCTCTCGTTAGTCCTTTTGTGCATATGGACTACTCAGAGGGCTGAAAAAGTTATTTTTGACTGGTCCTCACACTTTTGACCAGTCCTCGAACTTACAACTGTCCTCACATTTTACGTTTTTGCCCTATCTTGTCACCATGGTGAAGAGAAGCAGTTGTGAAATGAGTGACATGGTTGTTAAGAATACTGCACGGGCATAAATGTGAGGATGGTCATAAGTGTGAGGACCAGTCAAAAGTGTGAGGACCTGTCAGAAATGACTTTTCAGCCCTCTGAGTAGTCCCTATACACATAGCCATGGCCACCCGGTCACATGAACAGCTAGCCACGCCCACCCAGTCACATGGCCTCCAAGCCATGCCCACACAATAAGCCACGCCCACAATGGTGTCCTTCTTACCAATGTTAAAATCTGTTCACCTTACCCTATACACATAGCCATGGCCACCCGGTCACATGACCAGCTAGCCACGCCCACCCAGTCACATGACCAGCTAGCCACGCCCACCCAGTCACATAACCAGCTAGCCACGCCCACAAAATAAGCCACGCCCACAATGTCCCTCTTTACCAATGTTAAAATCTGGTCACCTTAAGTTTGACACCCCTGCTCCATCTCAAGTTCAGTTAGATTGATCCCTTATGTTCCTTCAGCAGAGCTCTGGAAGTCTCTTGACCCTTTTCAGCTCCCTCAATTGAATGCTGGGGCATGTTGGGAACAATGGACCAAGAGAGGTTGCATGCAAGTGATCCCATCGAAGGCCTCAGTAGCTTTCCTATTCCAGGTAGTGGCCAAGGCCTCAGAAGGATCACACAGCAGAGCCTGGGGTATAATCCTCAGTTCCCTTTGGAACCCCATCAGTCACTAAGAGTGGACTGGTCAAAGAGATCCAGCCTCCCTGCAGAGAGGGGCAGCATAAAAGAATCTCAAAGTCATCAGGCCATGATCTGGCCAGGACAAAGATGACAAGGACAGCTCCTCCTCAGATCAGGTTGGAAGTGGTCAGTTTTGAGTTGAGCTAAGAATGATGGTGGCCATGGTGAGATGCCTCTAAGGCCTGCCCCCGGGATGGCAAATGGACATCTCTCAAGACCATAAGTCTGGGCAACCCCACAGTCAACTGAGAAATGCTCTACAGAAGGTCAGACATGGAAGTTGCAGGGAGGCTGGTACAGTAGTAATGATCCCAACTGGTCCTGTGAATGAATCTTCTAGAAAAGAATTTCAGACCTGGCAATTTGGGGAGCAGCACCCCAAAAGACCAAAAGAGACACCCGGATGACAATTCCTACCCTTAGGCTACAGCAACAGAAATTTTCAAGTCTTGCAAAAAAAATTGCAGTTAATATCCTGAGATTCTTCCTCAAATTCCATTTATGCCTTGTGCCACTATTCACATGTGGCCCTCCTATTATCTGACCAAACTAGGGCATAAGCCAAAATCCATCTTGTGTGCAGGGGTCACTTCCACGTAGGTCAACAACACAATTTCCCCATGACTCCATCTGCTCTGGGAATTACAAGAGACACAAAGATGTTTTCCATTCTGCTGCATGAAGAGAAGCTGTTGCTAAGGGGAGAGGACAATGGCTTTTCCCTGCAATTATCACAAGAACAGTCATTCTTCATTTATCCCCTGTGGATTTCCAGACACAAAGAACTTCCAGGATGAAACTTGCTTTAAAAATTATCTCTGAGTTCACCAGATGGGGGACAGATTGTGTCACCTTAGCCTGCCTTGCAAAGAGCTCACTCCTGGGTTTGAAGAGACTCACATGCCTTTGTTCTCTCTATGGTCACAGCCCAAAGACAGGTAAGAGGAAGGATTTTTGATATAAATTTGTCCTGATGCCATCCAGGTGGCACAGGTGGTGTCTGATCTGCTAAAGTTCCAGTGAGATTTCAGCAGCAACCTTCAAATCAGTTTCTGCATAAACCTTGTGTTCTGTTCTAGGAGGGAAGGTGATAAGAATGACTGGGCAGGAGTCATGCTACTTCTGATGCTGATGCTCTTCTGGCTCCTGGCTCCAACTACAGCACAGAGGCTGCAAAACATATCTGTGTTCAGGGATTGTGTACAGTTAGAGGAAAGTAACTACCGGCCTGGTGATCTCATTATTGGTGGGAATTTACCCTTGCAAATGATTTTCAAGCCTCCTGCTCTAGATTTTAATACAGTGAATCTTCTTTTAGAAAATGTGTAAGTTTCAGCCTTAGGAGAAACATGCAGATAAATGTTCTCTTTGCTTTACATTCAGGGACTTTTTTCAAAAAATCCTTCTAGTGTTTTGAACGGTCCTGGTGTAGTGCGCATTTTGTGCTTCTCTCAGTAAATTAGGAAGCTCTTAAAATAGGCTGGAATTCTCAATCTCTTCATCAGGAAGACGATAAACAATAAAATGAAGAGGGAAGCTGTGCTGGCCTAGTGAAGAAGTTAAATTATAATCTTAATCTGAACAGAAGCTTCTGGTAGAAAATTCAAATAAAAGCTCAACACTCTTCAAGTGTTCAGGGGTTACAAAAATCCCTCTCAGTTTTGGAATCAGCATTGCTGATGAATAATGGCCTTCAGTAAAGCTATGAGGTGACTCCCACTGTAGTCCTGTGCTCAGCAATCCTTACCACACCTGAAGAAGCTGCTCCAAGAGGGACCTTAAATAATTATGGTGAAAGGGGAGCAGTTGGAAAGGATTACAGCCACTAAAGCAAAGTGAATATGGAAGGAATCGATAGAGAGTATAAGATATACATGGAAAGGCTTGTCTCCTTTCTCACAAAGTCCTCCAAGTTTAGTCAAGGGAAATCCTTTGAAAAAACCCAAACCCAATGAAATTTGTGAATTGCTGCCCCCAAAAGTTCCCCCAAACAGTGAAGCAAATTCTACAGCCAAGCACAAGCTTTCCTGTCATGTTCTCCAATGTTTTTCTTACTACAGTCTCGTACCCAGTAACTACCAGCTGTTCCTTGCATTGATGTTTGCTGTCTCTGAGATCAATAAGGATTTTCTTCTGCTCCCCAACATCACCCTTGGCTTCCACATCTACCGCCATTTCCAGAGGGAGGAGATTATTTCCTTAAACAGCCTCTCCATGCTCTCCTCACGAGGCCAAGTGGTTCCAGGTTACAAATGTGACCTGCAGGACACTCTGCTCTCCGTCATTGGTGGTCTCAGTGCCAAGACTTCAGTGGAGATGGCCTCCATCTTCAGCATCTTTAAGGTCCCACAGGTAAGGGAGCTCTCTTGGATAGAGTATGGAACAGACAAAGATCAGAAGCACAGACAGAAGCCAAAAATAAAACTAAAAGTATTTTTTGTTGGGGTGGGGAATATAATGAGCTTGTGACTCTTAGTTTATTTTTTATTAAACAGTAGCCATCATTTTAGTGCCATTTTTTAAAAAAATTGATTTATATGCCTCCCTTCTCCGGAGACTCAGGGCGTCTTACAGTGCATTACTTTTGTATATTTTATACAAAGTCAGCTTATTGCCCCCACAAACTGGGTCCTCAATTTACCTACCTTAGAAAGGATGGAAGGCTGAGTCAACCTTGAGCCTTGGAGAGATTCGAACTTACTTTAATTGCAGACAGCTGGTGTTAAATTACAGTGCTTAGTCTACAGAGCTATCCAGGCTCCATTTATTCTCTGTATCAAGTTGTTGGTTTCTTCTCTTGTCTTCTGATGTACCACAACTAATAAAAATGGCTAAGAAGGGAAGAAGTTTAAGTTTGCCAGTCAAAGTGAGTCAGCCTGTCTGTGAGGGCCATCAACCAGACAATGGTAACTACTAAAGTCAACATAAAACTTACTATGTCTTTGAAAAAATAATCTTACTTTCTCCAGCTCGGTGTTGGCTTTGAGTTCTCCCAGGGAGAGAGAAGAGTTTATCCTTCCTTCTTCCAGATTAATCCCAAGGAATCTCCTCAGTATGTGGGTTTAGTCCAGCTGCTCCTGCATTTCCAGTGGAACTGGGTTGGTCTTTTTGTCCCTGAAGATGACAGGGGAGAACATTTCATCTCAACTCTGATGCCAATGCTCCAGGAGAAGGAGATCTGCCTGGCCTTCACTCTAATACTGAAATTGGATGATTTTAAAATTGCTCAGAAGACGCTTATTCTCAATTTCCTCAGTTTGTCTAAAACAGAAGTGTTTATTCTGTTTGCAGACTCAGCTGTTACTGTCAATGTAATAGGGATTATGTATTATTTTGAAAAATATATGAAACTATCATCTAAGAAAGTTTATATCTTCACTTCCCATTGGAAACTTGGCATGGAAGAATCTGAATACACATTGCAATATGTAAAGCTTCATCATGGAGTCTTGCATTTTAGGGACCACGCTGGGGATGTCTCAGGATTCAGCCATTTCCTTCTGTCTTTAGACCCCTTGAGCCCCCAAGGAGACGTCTTTCTCCCTGTATGGTGGGAAGCGGCCTTTGGCTGCAAGATCCATAATTCAGGAAAGATCCCTCCAAAGGGGGAAAAACAATGTACAGGAAAGGAGAATCTGCAGAATCTGCAAAATTACATTTTTGAAACAAGAATGACAGGTGACAGTTACAATATCTTCAATGCTGTTTATGCTCCGGCACATGCTTTGCATGCAATGTATGGATCCAGAGTTCGACCGACCATGATGAGGCTTGGAAAGAGGATCTCAAATGTCCAGTCATGGCAGGTAATTTCTGGGTCTTTTGACTCAGTCCACAGATAGAAACTAACCAAGGAGAGAAGCAACCTAGAACTAAGGAGAAATTTCTTAAGGAAGGGTTTACCTTTACAAATCGTAGGTGCCCCATTGCTGGAGCCATTTAAGAAGAAACAGGATGGCCACATGTCTAAAACTGTAGAGGGTCTGTTTCTTGAGCAGAGGGTTGGGCTAGAAGACCTCCAATGTCCCTTCCAATAATAGGATTCTGTTTCTATGACAACGACAGCACAGAGCAAGATTCAAAGTGGTCCTAATGGGTTCCTGATCTGAAATTCATCAGAATTTTCTGCATCAAAGGCTAAAATGTTGGACATCTCTGAATAGTGAAGTGACCAACCAGGTCAGATGCTTCTTTCCACGTGGCCCAGTAGATATGAATTTTCCATGGTTCTGATAGAAATAATGTATTCACTCCAAACATTCATTTTTCAGTCAACAAGACCTTGGAACTATTTCAAAGTGCACATAGTGAAGTATCACAAAAGGAAAATCCTAAAATTAAATTTAGATTGTGGAACTAAAATTCTTGTGTTTTAGTGAAATTGGAGTTGGAAACCATGCCCAGTGATAAAGGGAAAACTTACTTTCAAAGTAAAATACACCTGATTCTTCAGATGGCAACCAAGAGATGGAACTATGATGTTCCAATTGTAGCTCTAGCCCCAATACTCCTATTTCTGAAGGTCTCCCTTTTTTCAGATTCTTCCTTATTTGAGGAATGTGCAGTTCAACAACAGTGCTGGAGAGGAAGTCTCCTTCTCAGAAGATGGACTGGGATCTGCTCGTTATGATCTTCTCAACTGGGTTTTCCTCCCCAATCAATCTTTTGTCCCCGTGAAAGTTGGGCAAGTAAATCCTGAGGCTCCCCCAGGCCAGGATTTCACCATTAAATCTGATGGAATCATCTGGGCCACAAAGGTGAGCTGCAAGGAAATGTTGTAAGTTCAGGGAAAGATTCATTCTCTTCCTGAGATGCAGAACATCTTCCTAACTTGAAAAATAATAAATTGAGTCAGAAACTATGGCAGTTATTTGGTGAATAACCTGCTTTACGTGTAACACCTTTGAGGTCTGATTTGTGTCATTCCACAAAGGGTTAGCCTTGGGATCAACATCTGCTTGAAATGCAGATTGCAATTACAGCAAGCAACAGTGATTTCCATGGAATTCAGTTGTATCCTCCTGGTTCTTTCTTTTAGAAATTCTGTGGTTCAGTCACAATCCTTCCTCTGCAGGATGAAAGCCCAGTTCTAATCTCCCCCATCCATGGGTGTGTCAGTGGTGCCAGTGGCCTGAATCCCTCAGGAGCTGTTCCATATTTCTGATAGACGGTGGCACTGTATCTCTTTAGAAGAGTATCTGAACATAGAAGTAGGAATGGGGAAAAGAATGAATGAAGCAGGTTCGTTGCTTAAGTAATTTCAAATACCGATCTTTCAGACCATCCCCATTGCCAGGTGTGGAAGGAAGAGGTGCCATGCAGGAGAGAGGAGAAGAGTTCCAGAAGGCAAGCAGGTTTGCTGCTACCAATGTGACCCTTGTCCAGAAGGGACCATTTCTAATCAGACAGGTAGACCATACTTCAAATTTAAATCTTCAGATATCAAGGAAGACATTCATTAAATCAATATATTTTTGTTATTGCATCATATTTCATATAATTGACATGCACCTACACTTTTCAATAGAACATTTCTATTGATCTAAACTGCCCTGGCCACAGAGGCCACCTTTCTCGATCCTCAGCAAGAATAGTTTGGGAGCACAATTTATCAATCCCCAACTTCCATTTCTGCTTCTACTTATACATCCAATTGGGAAACCAACTTCCAGTCTTTTCCTGAGGAAGTGGGGCATGTGGTCCAAGCTTTTATTTGGTCATTTAGAGGGTGCTTCTTCCATCATCTCCCCCAAACTCTGAGGAAATAGACCTGCCAGAGAAAGCAGACTTCCATCTATTTATGTCTCTTCGATAGAGCAGGAGGAAGGAATGGACAGATGTTTTAAAAGTTTTTTATTTTTATACAACTCATTTCCTGAATGGTTTCATTCCTGGGTTTCATACATTTCAATATAAATAATCATAACAATATTCTTAATAATTACAGTCCATTTTCATTTTTAATTTTACTAACATAGTTTCTACTGTCATCTTTCAACTCTTAACCTTCTCATAATTCTATCATACTTCATATCATCTTAATATCTGTTTTTACTATTTTCCCCCTCATATTTCTACTTCTATTTTAGCCCTCTTTTTCCCCCTTTCCCCTATCATTCTAATAATCAAAGATCTTTCCTTTTTTCATTATTCAATATTCCAATATATCAATCATGATCTTTCTCTAGCTTTTCATTAATAATCACATTTTTTAAATATATATACATTATCTCCAATCATTCATTTCTTATATTCATTATGTTACTACCAGTAGTGGGTTGCTCCCGGTTCACACCGGTTCTATAGAACCGGTAGTAAAACCGGCGGAAGGGTCTGCTCACTGAACCCGATGTCATCAAAATGCTTCTGCGCATGTGCAGAAGCTTCTGTGCATGAAGCTTCAATTCCTTATGTTGTTCTTTCATAAAATTTCTTCAAAAGTTTTGTATTTTGAAGTTTGAAGTAAGTTTGAACTAACTCCTTATAATCCAACAAAGATAAAAATTCCCATAGATGCACAGTTCTCCTTTTAGCAGCAGATGGCGATCATGATTCAGCTTCGTATTGCCTCTCTGCGTAGTGCTGATAATCCAATTTTAATTATTTTAGATTGTAAATATATATATATATATATATATATATATATATATATATATATATATATATATAGCCAGGTTTTACAGGGAGGATACATAAGATATGGGTGTGGCCTACTGATGAAAGCAAATGAGCTAGAAATAGATCTATTTAGGTCTCCCACCTAGCAGGAAGAGCTTGCTAGCTGTTAGAAAAGAAAAAAGCCCAGAATCGAGTGGATGTGATTCTACTGAGCTGGAGCTACAAAAAACCTTGGTTACGTAAGGAAAACCTGGCTAGAAGAAAAAACACACACACACACACACATATATATATATTTCTCTGTAAGTTTTCACAGGTATATATGTGTGTATAGTTAATATTTCGGGTTTCTTCCCGTGTAATTGTGGATATATCCCTAAAAGGGTAGAAGCGATGTTTCGACAGAATCTCATCTGCCATCATCAGGCTTATGTGAGAGGTCTTTTGCAGTAACTGCTGTTACTATTTCAAATCTGGTGCTGGTAGTCTGTGATGGCTCCACCTTTTCATTCTGATTGGTTGGGAGTCCTAGTATGTGTTTATTGGCTTGGCTTCGGGTGTATGGTCGGTTTTTCTCCACTAGGTGGCAGGGCTTCATCTTTGTGGCTGGTTTGAATATGATTTGGTTGGGATTTGTACATGTTTTTTTGATTAATGCTTGATCTGTTTTATATTTGGTGTTAAGATTCGTCTATCTATGAGAGCAGGTTTCCAAATAGTAGGCAGACGTGAAGTGTCATCCCGTTTATTCATGCAATATGGTCTTTTTTCTATTTCAATTGCCTCTCTGATTATTCTGCCATTGAGATGTTCTATTTTTGCAACTGTTTTTGTGTTATTAAAATTAATATTGTGTCCTGTTGTATTTATGTGTTGAACTAATGATGATGTGTGTTCTTGCTTTTGTATTGCATTTTTGTGTTCCTCGATGCGCACACTCATTCTTCTGTTGGTCTGTCCAATGTATGTTGATGGGCAGGAAGCACACGGGATTTCGTATATGCCTTGGTTTTCTAATTCTATTTTGTCCTTAGGGTTTCTCAGAATGGACGATATCTTTCTATCTGTGCAAAATATGGTTTTGATGTTGTGTCTATGTAGTACTTTGCTAATTTTATCTGTTCTTCCCCTTATATAGGGCAAGATGGCTTTCCCATTGTTTTGTTCCTCTTATTTTGTTTTGTTTTTTCTTCTGTTTAGGTGTTGCATGTTGGATCATATTGATGACTTTATTTCTACAGAACCCATTTGATGTCAGTACATTAGTTAGTGTACATAATTCTGTTTGTAAATGTGCTTCATCAGCCAGACGTTTAGTTCTTGTGGTTAATGTTTTGGCAACAGAGTTTATTTGTGCTAGATGGTGGTGTGATTTGGCGTTGAGATAGCGGTTCGTATGTGTCTTCTTTTGATAGATGGTATGTCCTAAGGTGCCATCAGATTTTTTATAAATTAATACATCGAGGAAAGGTAACTGGTTTTCTGATTCTATCTCCATGGTGAACTTTATTTTGGGATGGAGGCTGTTCAAATATACTAAGAAGTTTTCCAGTTTATCTCTTCCATGTGGCCAGATCACAAAAGTGTCATCAACATATCTGAGCCATAATTTTGGTTTGTTAACAGTTTTTTCTAAAGCATTGGATTCGAATTCTTCCATGAAAAGATTAGCGATGACTGGTGATAATGGTGATCCCATTGGTGCACCTTCTACTTGTTTATATCTCTGTCCTCTGTGTATGAAATATGTGTTGGATAAACAATGTTCTGTTAAATCTGTGATATGTTTTGGTAGTTGATATTTGTTTTTAATTGATGACAGGGCTTCTTTGATAGGTATTTGTGTGAATAGTGATACAACATCGAAGCTTACAAGAAGCTCATTTTCTTTTATGTGTTGCTTTTTTATTATTTGTATGAAATGGTATGAGTTCTGTACATATGAAGCAGCAGATTCTGCGTAAGGTTGCAGATGTTTTGCTAAATATCTGGCTAGATTTTGTAACGGTGAGCCTATGGAACTTACTATGGGTCTGAGAGGTATTCATTTGAAATAGTAGAAAGTTGAAAGATTTGAAATAGTAACGGCAGTTACTGCAAAAGACTCCTCACATAAGCCTGATGATGGCAGATGAGATTCTGTCGAAACGTCGCTTCTACCCTTTTAGGGATATATCCACAATTACACGGGAAGAAACCCAAAATATTAACTATACACACACGCATATATATAGGGGCCGACGAAAACTTAGCACAAGTTTTAAAATAAAAAAATTTAAACTTTTAAACGTTCCGGAGATCGTGATGTCTATTGCCTCTTCTATATTAAGTGTTTTACCGAGACACTTGGTCTACTCCAACATGTGGGAGAGAGCATTCTGCTCTCTTTTGCCTTTCAGCTCCAACTCAAGAGCCCTCAAGCAGTTGCATCCACAACAAACCATTTTTATACCAAATATATTTTACTGATAAAGAAATAAAGGGAGACTGGTATAGATCTATTTCAAGCTTCTTAGCTCTCATCAGCCAGCCTTACCCTTACTTGGATTCGAACCTGGGCTGCCTGCATGTTAGGCAGTTGTATTAACCACTGAGCCACAAGCAGAATGCTCTCTCCCACATGTTGGAGTAGACCAGGTGTCTCGGTAAAACACTTAATCTTTCCCCTGGCTCAGGCTGATGAAGGAAGGAGAACTTGTGGCTCAGTGGTTAATACAACTGCCTAACATGCAGGCAGCCTAGGTTCGAATCCAAGTAAGGGTAAGGCTGGCTAATGAGAGCTAAGAAGCTTGAAATAGATCTATACCAGTCTCCCTTTATTTCTTTATCAGTAAAATATATTTGGTATATATTTAAAAATACCTTTTCAATTCATATCTTCACTTTGAGAGTTCAATTTTTTAACTTAGTTTTCTTTAAAACGTTTCTCTTCTTAAATATTATAGCACTTATATATATGTATATAAGTGTGCTTATTCTGCCATTAGAAAGAGTTCCAGTATTCTTCCCCCTCATATTTATTGGCGATATTTTCAAAGAAAATTATTCTTTTGTCCAGTTCACAAGCCACTCACTTTCTCTGCTCCTGCTCAGTCCTGGGTATTAAGGTTGTCTTCAGCTTCAGGCAGCCATGTTTGCTGCCATTGCTCCCTGTCATTGGCGGAGTGGGCTTTCCTAGTCAGGGAAGGGAGACGCGACTCCCCTCTACCTGCTAGGCTGTCCCCCTTTGCTTCACCACCCCTCCAGGGTGGCTGTGGTCCCGATTTGAACCGTCCAATAATGAGAGGTCAGAGCTGACCATGGAGCTCGCGGATCAGGCTTCCGAAGGCACAAGAAGTACAACCGGAAGTCAGGAATGAACAGATTTAAGTACAAAGCAGAGATGTTAAGACAGGAATAATGTACTCAAAACAAAACAGCAACATTTCTGTATAACTGATCTGCTGTTCTTCTTTGTGTTCAATTATAAAACGGCAGAAAAACAGGCAGGAATCCCAGACTGAAGGCCACATTACTCATGGAAGTGCACAGTGAATAGATAGCTGGAACTGAATAAATCCTTGTCTCTGGCTAATCTATCCCCAGAATCATCATAAATAAAGGATGATTTGCTCTTTTTGATGCCCCATAAATAGCACAGGGGATTATTTCATTACTCCCTTTGTAGGTAGGTCAACAGCAGAAAGGCAACACACGTATCACTTTTGCAGGAGGGAAAATGTGTATGGTAGTTGCTCAAGAAATCCTTAGACAAAGACTTTTGATTTCAGATGCAGCTCGCTGTGAACCCTGCCCAGAAGACCAATTTCCCAACAAGGACAAGGACCACTGCATTGCCAAGAAGATCCACTTCCTTGCCTATCAAGACACCCTGGGATACATTTTAGTTTTTCTTGCTTTTTTCCTCTCTGTGATCACTTCTGCAGTCCTGGTGATTTTCTATAAACATCATGACACACCAATTGTCAAGGCCAACAACCGAGATCTCACTTACATTCTCCTGGTCTCCCTCCTGCTCTGCTTCCTCTGTTCCTTCCTCTTCATTGGTCGACCTGGGAAGGTCACCTGTCTCTTCCAACAATCTATCTTTGCCATTCTCTTTGCCCTTGCAGTTTCCTCTGTGTTGGCAAAAACTGTCATGGTGGTTCTGGCCTTCATGGCCACCAAACCAGGGAACAAGACAAGGAAACTCTTAGGGAAACCACTGACCAACTCCATTGTCATAGCCTTTCCCCTGATCCAAGCAGTCCTTTGTGCCACCTGGCTGATAACTTCTCCCCCATTTTCCAGCTGTGACTTTCACTCCTTGTATGGAGAGATCATCTTGGAATGTAAGCAAGGCTCAACTGTAATGTTTTACATTGTCCTCTCTTACCTAGGACTTTTGGCCTTTGTCAGTTTCTCAGTGGCCTTTCTGGCTAGGAAATTGCCTGATAGTTTCAACGAAGCCAAGTTCATTACTTTTAGCATGATGGTCTTTTGCAGTGTTTGGATCTCCTTCCTCCCTACCTACCTGAGCACCAAAGGAAAGTCCATGTTGGCTGTGGAGATTTTCTCCATTTTGGCCTCTGGAGCTGCTCTCTTGGCTTGTATCTTTTTCCCCAAATGCTATATTATTCTGCTGAGGCCAGATCTGAATTGTAGAGAAAATATAGTAAGAAACAAGAATTTCTAACTAAAGCAAGATTGGCCTCATTTTTATCTCTCTTTGTTGTGTGTTTAGAATGTGATAAGATTTCTAACAAATAATGACATGAAGGCAAAATTTGTCCATAAAAGAATTCCTTATCAAGTTCTGCAACTGCTTACAATATTCCTGTGGTCAGTTTTTTGTTTTTCATGTTTTCAAAGTCATTAGTGAGGCCCAGTGCCCTATATGGAAGGAAAACTTGTTGTCAAAGATGTGTTTATTATTTTGGATATTTCTAAGTTTATATGGCAAAGGAAAAAACCCAAAATTAGATACAAACTACTGCAAGATGCTAAGGAAAAAGGGGGGTTGGGTTTACCAGACCTGAAATTGTATTTTGAGGCATGTTGTCTGGCCTGGTTAAAAGAGTGGGTGAACCTCCAGAATAAGAGGCTACTTGAATTAGAGGGCCACGAATTAAGGTTTGGATGGCACGGTTATTTATGGTATGATAAAGTTAAACTTAATGTTGATTTTAATAATCACTTTGCTAGACGTGCCATACTAAGTATTTGGAATAAATATAAAACAAGGTTCTATACAAAGTTGCCTCTTTGGGTGTTCCCCCAAGAAGCTTTTTTAAGAAAAGAAATGGTGGCGAAGCCAGACTGGTGGACGTATGGTAAAATATTATTTTTCAATTCTGGTGAAGCTACATTAAAGTTGAGGGAAGAACTTGAATTATGTTTATCATTGCTTTGCATATCAAGAACTGAAAGAATGGTTTAAATCGAATAAAAAGAGTTGTGGGTTTGATTTTGCTAAAAATGAATTGGAAATCTTACTGTGTGGTAGTGATGAGCATATTATTGCTAAGATTTATAAAATGTTATTGAAATTGAATTTGGAAAGTGAACATGTAAAACATTGTATGATTCAATGGGCAAGGAATTTTGGATATAATGTGATGCTTGAACAATGGGAAAATATGTGGATGAAAGGTTTAAAATTTACACTAAACTATAATTTAAAAGAATTTTTTATAAGATGATGTATCGCTGGCATTTAACACCGGATAAATTATCCAGAATGTATAAAGGTATTTCAAATGAATGTTGGAAGTGTAAAAGAAAGAAGGAACTTTTTACCATTTATGGTGGACATGTGATAAAGCAAAGAAATTTTGGAGTAAGATTCATATTATAATAAAGAATATTCTTCAAATGAAAATAAAAATGAAACTGGAAACTTTTCCTTTGGGTTTAATGGAAAAAGACTTGGAGAAAAATTTTGATCTTATATATGTTGACAGTAGCAAGACTATTATACGCACAAAAATGGAAGGACCCTTAGATTCCCACTATGGATGAATGGCTACAGAAGCTGATGGAGTTGGCAGAAGTGGCAAAATTGATCGTTTTGGTTAAAGGAAAGAATATAAGTACCTTTATTTCCACATGGAAACCGCTTCTGTACTTTGTGCTTGAGATGGAAAAAAATGAAACTTTGATTTTGGGTTTTACCGATTAGATTACTACGTTTTTATAGAAATGGCTAGCTTATATTATTATGGAAAAACAAAACGTTGTGGTTTGATATTATTATTATTATTTTACTGCAACAGAGGGAGTCGGAAGTCCATGTTTCTTCTTTTCTTTTCCCCAATTTCTCCTCACTTTACTCTCCCCATTCCCCCCTGTGTTTTTCTATTTACTTTTTTATTTTATTTTATAACCTAATAAAAAATATTAAACTGCAAAAAGATGTGTTTATTATTTCAAAGAGGATGCCATGGAGGACTTTCAATGTGATAACCCAAACCTTCAGTTGGACACGGATGCAAAGCAGAAACCAATGGAACTTGTAAAACAGGGGTATTAAATGGGCCATACTAGAGGTAGAAAACATTGTCCACCCTGCTTCATTCAGCACCAGATGCAGCTTCCAAATGCTCTTCAAAGGTAGCCCTATTGTATGAATTCAAATGCAAATTGACCAGGGAATGAGTGCCTGAGCCCAGGGAATCAATATCCAGGAAAAGGTCCAACTGGAACACTATAAGAAGTTATGTAACTAGATAGCGAACAAAAAGAATTTTATCGAAAACTGCACGAAAAGATTACAGAACAAAATATAGAAAATGTATGCCTGTTGGGAGACCTCAATGCAATTGTGAATCCAAAAAAGGATTATAAGAGCGATCAGAACAATAAAAAAAAGAAAGAAAAATTTGCTGCCAAAAACATTTTTTAATTTAACAGAAGAACTAAATTTAGTAGATATATGGAGACTATATAACCCAGAAGAGGAAAGATACACATATTATTCCAACCCCCATAAATCCTGGTCAAGGATAGACATGGCATGGGTTACAAAGAGTTTAATACAGGAGATAGAAGCAGTAGAGATTGTGACAAATGATTGGGCTGATCATAACCCAATAACGATAGAATGAAGAGGGCAAAGAAAGAGAAGGAGCAGATGGATGATGAATGTTCAGATAATGAAAGAAAAGGAGTATACTGAAAGGATAGAAAAAGAATTGAAGGGGTTTTTCAAAGATAACAATAAATATCAGACATCCCTCCAAAACCTGTGGGATACAACAAAGGCTTACATTAGAGGCTTAACAATAGCCTATAATAGTAAACGGAAAAAGAAGTAGGAAAATAAATATAACAAAATTTGAGAAGAGATCAAAAATTGGGAAGGGAAATTACAGGAAAGGCCAGGGGATGAACAAATAAGAACCAATTGGATGGCAGCTAAACACAAATTGAATCTATTCGAGCAAGAAAAATATGTCAACACAATGAAATTTTTAAAACAAAATCAATTTGAACAGGCGAACAAACCAGGGAGGTGGATGGCTTACAAATTAAGAAAAGAAAGAGAGAAACGAACAATTCACTAACTGCAGGATAAGGATGGTAAGCTATGTCAGAACCTAGAAAAGAAGAAAGAGATAGTAACCCATTTTTTTCAAGATTTGTACACACAGGATAAGGTGACAAGAGAAGAAATAGATCAATATTTAAAAGAGGAGAGAATGCCAGTAGTAACTGAAGAAGAGGAAGAGATACCCAATAGAGAGATTACTATAGAGGAACTACAGGCAACAATTAGGAAACAAAAAAACAATAAAACCCCGGGAACGGATGGCCTACCAGTAGAATTATATAAAGGATTAGGGGAATCACTAAATTGGATACTATTAGAGGTCTACAATGAGGCATTGAAAGAGGCAAAGCTACCAGAATCTTGGAGGGAGGCATATATCTCGCTCATCCCGAAGGAAGGGGCAGATACAACACAGATAAAAAATTATAGGCCGATTTCTTTACTAAATTCCGATTATAAGATTTTTATGAATTTGATGGCAAACAGATTAAAGACAATATTAAATCATAGAATACATTTGGACCAGAACGGATTCCTGCTGGCAAGACAAATTAAAAACAACATAAGGACAGTGATCAATGTAATAGAATACTATGAAGTGCATCCAGAGAAACAGGTAGCCCTGATCTTCCTGGATGCACAAAAGGCATTTGATCGGGTCAACTGGAGATTCATGATACAACAAATAAAGAATATGAAATTCGGGGAGAAATTCAAAAAGATGATAGATTCAATAGACACAAAACAGAGAGCAAGGATACTAGTAAATGGGGAACTAACCAATTTGTTTGAAATGAGTAGAGGAGTACGACAAGGGTGCCCACTTTCACCACTACTCTTTATTTTAACGCTAGAAAACCTACTTAGAAGAATTAGACTCAACAAAAATATAAAAGGACTCAAGGTTAAAGGAGAAGAATATAAGGTCCAAGCATTTGCTGACGACTTTGCATTCTTCATAGAGGATCCGTTAGAAACGGAATTAAAATTAACAGAGGAAATAGAGAAATTTGGTAAGGTGGCAGGTTTAAAAGTCAATAAGGATAAGACTAAAATATTAACTAAAAATTTAACAGCAAAACAAATAGAAGAGTTAGAAAAACAATCAGGATTACAAATAGTTAAGAGGATAAAATATTTAGGTATTAATCTGACAACTAGGGATGTGGCTATAAAAGATAATAATTATGGAGAGTTAGTACAACAAATTAAAAATGATTTAGAAAGACGGAGGAAACTAAAGTTATCATTGTTAGGAAGAATTGGGACGATTAAGATGAATATACTCCCAAGGCTCCTCTACTTATTTCAAACTATTCCAGTTAAATTAGAGAAAAACTTTTTTACAAATTTGAATAAAATAACATCAAAATTCGTATGGGACGGAAAAAAACCAAGAATAAATTTAAATATATTACAGGATGATAAATCTAGAGGGGGTTTTGGCCTACCAGCGTGGGGAAAATATTATAAGGCAGCGAGCTTAACATGGATTAAGGAGTGGGTCAATTTGGAGAATTACAGACTTTTAAAATTAGAAGGCCACAATTTATTAAAGGGGTGGCATGCCTTCTTGTAGAATGCCGGGAACAAAACCTATAAACATTTTAAAAATCACATAATAAGAAATTAACTGATTGGCATATGATTCAAAATTAAAAACGAACATTATATGAAGGTTCCCAGCTGGATATCTTCATTGGAGGTAGCAATGCACCCCAACACACTAGCCCCCCCATAAATTAATAAGATACAAAGAAGTACTGGACCCCCAAGAAAGATTAAAAACATGGCAGGAACTCAGGGAAAAAGGCATAGAAATAGATTGGTGGCCCTACCTACAAATACAAACTAGATACAATAAAGACAATGAGGAAAGAGGAATCGACATAATTGACATAAATCCCGACTAGACAAATTATTAGGAACTAAGAATGGAAATTTGATTTCAAAGATATACAAATACTTATTAGAATTTGACCTAGCAGAAAATTTAGTTAAAGGACAAATGATAGCTTGGGCAAGGAAGATTGGCAAAAATATACAATAAGAAGAGTGGGAAAGGGTATGGGAAACCAACTATAGAATAACAAAATCCGTAGCATATAAGGAGAACCACTACAAGATGTGGTACAGATGGTATCTAGCCCCTGCGAGATTGGCGAGGATGTATGCAAACCTTAATTCAACGTGTTGGAAATGCAAGCAAGCACAGAGAACCTTCTTTCATGTCTGGTGGCTTTGCCCAAAAATTAAAAAATATTGGATAAAAATAAAAATTTGGATATCAGAAATAATTGCAGAGGATATTGAGCTAGAACCAGAAATTTTTTTGTTAGGAATGCTTAAACAAAACATTAGAAAGGAAAAAAAGTACCTAATATTGCATATAATTACAGCAGCTCTAGCACAAGTCTAGAAAACAGATCAATTGCCAACGGAGCAGCAAATAATTCAAAAAATTTACACATGTGCAGAAATGGATAGACTAACATTGAAATTGAAAGATAAGGAAGACTCTCAGTATTTTAAGATATGGGACAGTTGGTATGAGTGGATAAACCAATGGAAAAGAAGGTAAAGTCAAAACTTAGTAAGAAATTTAAAGTAATAATTATACACTGTCATTAAGGGGGAAAAAGGGAAAATAAGTTCTTGTATATATGTGTAATATACATTGTATATACCTTATTTGTTGTTTGTTGATATTGTTGATTGTAGTTTAAGGTTGTGAATGTTTTATACAATTTTATGGTTTTTTTTAAATCTAATAAAGTTTATTTTTAAAACTAAAAAAAAAGAAGAAGAAGAAGAAGTTATGCAACTAGAAAGAGTTCTGAGTCCAGGAGTCCATCCCCAAGAAGCAGTTGGGACTCCCCTCCCCATTCCACCCCACCTGAACCCAGCTCCAGAGCTAACCTACATGCCCCACACTTATCTATTTCAGGGCCCAGCATCCAGGCCACCCCCCGCTTTGCTTCCTGCCTCACTTTGCAGTTGTGGCACCTGCAGCAGCAGCAACCAGGATCAGGAGGCAAGCAGGCCTGGAAATACCTTCAGAAAAGTGGGACTGGGCAGTAGAGTCCCGTTGCCCTGGGAACTCAAGTGTTGGGTGCCTGCTGCCCAGGGCCCATGCTGCCATCCAGGGCCTGTCCATGTGGCCTTAGAGGGTCGGTGAGGCTCCTCCAGTGGATCAGGACCTGGCGCCCACTCTAGTCCTATCCCCAACACAAGGGACATCTACCCTGGCCCCCCAAGGACAACAACAATCCTGATCTGACCCTCAATGAAATGGAGTTTGACACCTCTGCTCTAGCTCATGTTCAGTCAGCTTCATCCCTCATGTTGGGAGCAATGGATCTAGAGAGTTGCATGTGAGTGATCCCATCCCAGGCCTCAGTAGCTTTCCTATTCTAGGTAGTGGCCAAGGCCTCAGAAGGACCATGCAGGAGAGTGTTGGGTATAGTCCCCAGTTACATTTGGAACCTCATCAGTCACTAAGAGTGGACTGATCAAATAGATCTGGCCTCCCTGCAAAGAGGGGCAGCATAAAAGAATCTCAAAGTCACCAGGCCATGATCTGGCTAGGACAAAGGGGACATAGACAGGTCCTCATCAGATCACTTTGGAAGTGGTCTGTTTTGAGTTGAGCCAAGAAGGTTGGTGGCCATGTTGAAATGCCTCTAAGACCAGCCCCAGGGATGGCAAATGGACATTGCTCAAGAATATAAGTCTGGGGAACCCCACAGTCAACTGTGAAATGTCCTCCAGAGGCTCAGACATGGAAGTTGCTAGGCAGCAGGGAGGCTGGTACAGTAGTAATGATCCCAACTGGTCCTGTGAATGAATCTTCAGGAAAAGAATTTCAGGCCTGGCAATTTGGGGAGCAGCACCCCAAAAGACCCAAAGAGACGCCCGGATGACAATTCCTACCCTTAGGATACAGCAACAGAAATTTTCAAGTCTTGCAAAAAAAATTGAAGTTAATATCCTGAGATTCTTCCTCAAATTCCATTTATGCCTTGTGCCACTATTCGCAAGTAGCCCTCCTATTATCTGACCAAACTAGGGCATAAGCCAAAATGCATCTTGTGTGCAGGGGTCACTTTCAGGTAGGTCAACAACACAACTTCCCCATGACTCCATCTGCTCTGTGAATTACAAGAGACACAAAGATGTTTTCCATTCTGCTGCATGAAGAGAAGCTGTTGCTAAGGGGACAGGACAATGGCTTTTCCCTGCAATTATCAGAAGAACAGTCATTCTTCATTTATCCCCTGTGGATTTCCAGACACAAAGATCTTCCAGGATAAAACCTGCTTTAAAAATTATCTCTGAGTTCACCAGATGGGGGGCAGAACGTGTCACCTTAGCCTGCCTTGCAAAGAGCTCACTCCTGGGTTTGAAGAGACTCACATGCCTTTGTTTCCTCTATGGTCACAGCCCAAACACAGGTAAGAGGAAGCATAGTTGCTATAAATTTGTCCTGGTGCCATCCAGGAGGCACAGGTGGTGTCTGATCTGCTAAAGTTCCAGTGAGATTTCAAGAGCAACCTTCAAATCAGTTTCTGCATAAATCTTGATTTCTGTTCTAGGAGCGAAGGTGGTAAGAATGACCGGGCAGGAGTCATGCTGCTTCTGATGCTGATGCTCTTCTGGCTCCTGGCTCCAACTACAGCACAGAGGCTGCAAAACATATCTGTGTTCAGGGATTATGTACAGTTAGAGGAAAGTAACTACAGGCCTGGGGATCTCATTATTGGTGGGAATTTGCCCTTGCGAATGACTTTAAAGCCTCCTGCCCTAGATTTTAATACAGTGAATCTTCTTTTAGAAACTGTGTAAGTTTCAGCTGAAGGAGAAACATGCAGATAAATGTTCTCTTTGCTTAAAATTCTGGGACTCCTTTCAGAAATACTTCTTCTAGTGTTTTGAACAGTCCTGGTGTAATGCACATTTTGTGCTTCTCTCAGTAAATTAGGAAGCTCTCCAAATAGGCTAGAATTCTCAATCTCTTCATTAGGAAGATGATAAACAATAAAATGAAGATGGAAGCTGTGCTGACCTAGTGAAGAAGTTAAATTATAATATTAATCTGAACAGAAGCTTCTGGTAGAAAATTCAAATAAAAGCTCAACACTCTTCAAGTGTTCAGGAGTTACAAAAATCCCTCTCAGTTTTGGAATCAGCATTGCTGATGAATAATGGCCTTCAGTAAAGCTATGAGGTGACCCCCACTGTACTCCTGTGCTCAGCAATCTTTACCACACCTGAAGAAGCTGCTCCAAGAGGGACCTTAAATAATTATGGTGAAAGGGGAGCAGTTGGAAAGGATTACAGCCACTAAAGCAAAGTGAATATGGAAGGAATTGATAGAGAGTACAAAACAGTCCATGATATATATGGAAAGGCTTGTCTCCTTTCTCACAAAGTCATCCAAGTTTAGTCACGGGAAATCCTTTGAAAAAACCCAAACCCAATGAAATTTGCGAATTGCTGCCCCCAAAAGTCCCCCCAAACAGTGAAGCAAATTCTACAGCCATGCACAAGCTTTCCTGTCATGTTCTCCAATGTTTTTCTTACTACAGTCTCGTACCCAGTAACTACCAGCAGTTCCTTGCATTGATGTTTGCTGTCTCTGAGGTCAATAAGGATTTTCTTCTGCTCCCCAACATCACCCTTGGCTTCCACATCTACCGCCATTTCCAGAGGGAGGAGATTATTTCCTTAAACAGCCTCTCCATGCTCGGCTCACGAGGCCAAGTGGTTCCAGGTTACAAATGTGACCTGCGGGACACTCTGCTCTCCGTCATTGGTGGTCTCAGTGCCAAGTCTTCAATGGAGATGGCCTCCATCTTCAGCATCTTTAAGGTCCCACAGGTAAGAAAGCTCTCTTGGATAGAGTATGGAACAGACAAATATCAGAAGCACAGACAGAAGCCAAAAATAAAACTAAAAGTATTTTTTGTTGGGGTGGGGAATATAATGAGCTTGTGACTCTTACTTTATTTTTTATTAAACAGTAGCCATAATTTTAGTGCCATTTTTTTTTAATTTGATTCATATGCCGCTCTTCTCCGGAGACTCAGGGCGGCTTACAGTGCGTTACTTTTGTATATTTTATACAAAGTCAGCTTATTGCCCCCACAAACTGGGTCCTCAATTTACCTACCTTAGAAAGGATGGAAGGCTGATTTAACCTTGAGTCTGGCAAGATTCGAACTTATTTTTATTGCAGACAGCTGGTGTTAAATTACAGTGCTTAGTCTGCAGAGCTATCCAGGCTCCATTTATTCTCTGTATCAGGTTGTTGGTTTCTTCTCTTGTCTTCTGATGTACCACAACTAATAAAAATGGCTAAGAAGGGAAGAAGATTAAGTTTGCCAGTCAAAGTGAGTCAGCCTGTCTGTGAGGGCCATCAACCAGACAATGGTAACTACTAAAGTCAACATAAAACTTACTATGTCTTTGAAAAAATAATCTTACTTTCTCCAGCTCGGTGTTGGCTTTGAGTTCTCCCAGGGAGAGAGAAGAGTTTATCCTTCCTTCTTCCGGATTAATCCCAAGGAATCTCCTCAGTATGTGGGTTTAGTCCAGCTGCTCCTGTATTTCCAGTGGAACTGGGTTGGTCTTATGGCCCCTGAAGATGACAGGGGAGAAGGTTTCATCTCAACTCTGACGCCAATGCTCCAGGAGAAGGAGATCTGCCTGGCCTTCACTCTAATGCTGAAATTGGATGATATTCAAATTGCTCAGAAGAAGCTTATTCTCAATTTCCTCACTTTGTCTAAAACAGAAGTGTTTATTCTGTTTGCAGACTCAGCTGTTACTATCACTGTAATAGGGATGATGTATTATTTTGAAAACTATATGAAACTATCATCTAAGAAAGTTTATATCTTCACTTCCCATTGGAAACTTGGCATGGAAGAATCTAAAGAAACATTGCAATTTATAAAGCTTCATCATGGGGTCTTGCATTTTAGGGACCACCCTGGCAATGTCTCTGAATTCAGCCACTTCCTCCTGTCTTTAGACCCCTTGAACCCCCAAGGAGATGTCTTTCTCCCTCAATGGTGGGAAGCGGTCTTTGGCTGCAAGATCCATAAATCAGGAAAGATCCCTCCAAAGGGGGAAAAACAATGTACAGGAAAGGAGAATCTGCAGAATCTGCAAAATTACATTTTTGAAACAAGAATGACAGGTGACAGTTACAATATCTACAATGCTGTTTATGCTCTGGCACATGCTTTGCATGCAATGTATGGATCCAGAGTTCGACCGACCATGATGAGGCTTGGAAAGAGGATCTCAAATGTCCAGTCATGGCAGGTAATTTCTGGGTCTTTTGACTCAATCCACAGATAGAAACTAACCAAGGAGAGAAGCAACCTAGAACTAAGGAGCAATTTCTTAAGGAACGGTTTACCTTTATAAATCATAGGTGCCCCATTGCTGGAGCCATTTAAGAAGAAACAGGATGGCCACATGTCTAAAACTGTAGAGGGTCTGTTTCTTGAGCAGAGGGTTGGGCTAGAAGACCTCCAATGTCCCTTCCAATAATAGGATTCTGTTTCTATTACAACCACAGCACAGAGCAAGATTCAAAGTGGTTCCTGATCTGAAATTCATCAGAATTTTCTGCATCAAAGGTTAAAATGTTGGACATCTCTGAATAGTGAAGTGACCAACCAGGTCAGATGCTTCCTTCCACGTGGCCCAGTAGATCAAAACCGGTTCCTGCATTCTGCTGCCTTTGAGAGTGAGCTAGAGAAAATCAGAACCATGAATTTTCCATGGTTCTGATAGAAATAATGTATTCACTTCAAACATTCATTTATTAGTCAACAAGACTTTGGAACTGTTTCAAAGTGCACATAGCAAAGTATCACAAGAGGAAAATTCTAAAATTAAATTTAGATTGTGGAACTAAAATTCTTGTATTTCAGTGAAATTGGAGTTGGAAACCATGCCCAGTGATAAAGGGAAAACTTACTTTGAAAGTAAAATACACCTGATTCTTCAGATCACCACCAAGAGATGGAACTATGATGTTCCATTTGTAGCTCTAGCCCCAATACTCCTATTTCTGAAGGTCTCCTTTCTTTCAGATTCTTCCCTATTTGAGGAATGTGCAGTTCAACAACAGTGCTGGAGATGAAGTCTCCTTCTCAGAAGATGGACTGGGATCTGCTCGTTATGATCTTCTCAACTGGGTTTTCCTCCCCAATCAATCTTTTGTCCCCATGAAGGTTGGGCAAGTAAATCCTGAGGCTCCCCCAGGCCAGGATTTCACCGTTAAATCTGATGGCATTGTCTGGGCCACAAAGGTGAGCTGCAAGGAAATGTTGTAAGTTCACAGAAAGATTCATTCTCTTCTTGTGATGCAGAACATCTTTCTAAATTGAAAAATAATAAATTGAGTCAGAAACTATGGCAGTTATTTGGTGAATAACCTGCTTTACGTGTAACACCTTTGAGGCCTGGTTTGTGTCATTCCACAAAGGGTTAGCCTTGGGATCAACATCTGCTTGAAATGCAGGATGCAATTATAGCAAGCAACATTGATTTCCATGGAATTCAGTTGTATCCTCATGGTTCTTTCTTTTAGAAATGCTGCAGTTGAGTCACAAGCCTTCCTCCTCATGATGGAACCCCAGTTCCAATCTCCGGCATCTATTGATGTCTCAGGAATACCAGAATCCCTCAGGAACTGTTCCATATTTCTGATAGACGGTGGCACTGTATCTCTTTAGAAGAGAATCTGAACATAGAAGTAGGAATGGGGAAAAGAATGAATGCAGCAGGTTCGTTCCTTAAGTAATTACAAATACTTATCTTTTAGACCATCCCCATTGCCAGGTGTGGCATGAAGAGGTGCCATGCAGGAGAGAGGAGGAGAGTTCCAGAGGGCAAGCAGGTTTGCTGCTACCAATGTGACCCTTGTCCAGAAGGGACCATTTCTAATCAGACAGGTAGACCATACTTCAAATTTAAATCTTCCAGAATCAAGGAAGAAATTCATAATATCAGTATATATTTGTTATTGTGACCGTTTTTGATAAAATTGACATGCACTGATACTTTTCAATAAAACCTTTCTATTGATCTAAACTGCCCTGGCCACAGAGGCCACCTTTCTCGATCCTCAGCAAGGATATTTTGAGGACACAATTTATCAATCCCCAACTTCCATTTCTGCTTCTACTTATAGATCCAATTGCGAAACCACCTTCCTGAGGAAGTGGGGAATGCAGTCCAAGGTTTTATTTGATCATTCAGAGGATGCTTCTTCCGGCAACTCTATCAACCTCTGAGGAAATAGACCTGCCAGAGAAAGAGGAAATCCATCTATTTATGTCTATTCGATAGGGCAGATAGGGAGGAATGGACAGATTTTTGAAAAGATTTTTATTTTATACATCTCATTCCATGAATGGTTTGATTCCTGGGTTTCATATATTTCAATATAAATAATCATAACAATATTATTCTTAATAATTACAGCCCATTTTCATTTTTAATTTTACAAACATATAGTTTCTATTGTTATCTTTCAACTCTAAACCTTCTCATAATTCTATCATACTTCATATCATCTTAATATACTATTAAGATGATATACTACACTATACTATATTAGCCCTCCTTTTTTTCCCCTTTCCCCTATCAATCTAATAATCAAAGACGTGATCGTTCCTTTTTTCATTATTCAATATTCCAGTATATCAATCATGATCTTTCTCTAGCTTTTCGTTAATAATCACATTTTTAAAATATACATATTATCTCCAACCATTCATTTCTTATATTCATTACGTTACTACCAGTAGTGGGTTGCTCCCGGTTTGCACCGGTTCTACGGAACCAGTAGTAAAACCGGCGGGAGGCTCTGCCCACTGACCCCGACGTCATCAAAATGCTTCTGCGCCTGAAGCTTCATTTCCTTATGTTGTTCTTTTATAAAATCCTTCATGTCTTGGTATGTCAGCTCCATATCATTATATCCACTTATTTCCATTTTACAGTCAGTCCAATTTTAAAAAACATCCAGGGGTTATCCACGTCCCTTCCAATCACTTTTATTTCTTCAAAAGTTTTGTATTTTGAAGTTTAAAGTAAGTTTGAAGTAACTCCTTATAATCCAACAAAGATAAAAAGTCCCATAGATGCACAGTTCTCCTCTTAGCAGCAGATGGCGCTCATGATTCAGCTTGGTATTGCCTCTCTGCATAATGCTGATAATCCAATTTTAATTATTTTAGATTGTAAATCCAATAGGTGGACAAATGAATAATAACAAAATTTGATAGTCATAAAATATAAACAATTTCCAGATCAAATTCCAGTATATATATATTTTTAAAAATACCTTTTCAATGTCACGTCTTCACTTTGAGAGTTCAATTTTTAAATTTAGTTTTCTTTAAAAAGTTTCTCTTCTTAAATATTATAGCTTATATATATATATAAATAAGTGTGCTTATTCCGCAGCTAGCAAATAGTTCCAGTATTCTTCCCCCTCATATTTCTTGGGGATATTTTCAAAGAAAATTATTCTTTTGCCCAGTTCACAAGCCACTCACTTTCTCTGCTCCTGCTCAGTCTTGGGTATTCAGGTTGTCTTCGGCTTCAGGGCAGCCATGTTTGCTGCCACTGATCCCTGTCGTTGGCGGAGTGGGCTTTCCTAGTCAGCGAAGGGAGAGGCGACTCCCCTCTACCTGCTATTCTGTCCCCCTTTGCTTCACCACCCCTCCAGGGTGGCTATGGTCCCGATTTGACCCCTCCAATAACGAGAGGTTGGAGCTGACCACGGAGCTGGCAGATCAGGCTTCCGAAGGCATAAAATGGCGGAAAAAACAAGCAGGAATCTCAGACTGAAAGCTATATTACTCATGGAAGTGCATGGATAGCTGGAACTGAATAAATCCTTGTCTCTAGTTAATCTATCCCCAGGATCATCATAAATGAAGGATGATTTGCTCTTTTTGATGCCCCATAAATAACACAGGGAATTATCTCATCACTGCCTTGGTGGGTAGGTCACCAGCAGGAAGGCAACACATGTATCACTTTTGCAGGAGGGAAAATGTGTATGGTAGTTGCTCAAGAAATCCTTAGACAAAGCCTTTTGATTTCAGATGCAGCTCACTGTGAACCCTGCCCAGAAGACCAATTTCCCAACAAGGACAAGGACCACTGCATTACCAAGAAGATCCACTTCCTTGCCTATCAAGACACCCTGGGATACATTTTAGTTTTTCTCACTCTTTTCCTCTCTGTGATCACTTCTGTAGTCCTGGTGATTTTCTATAAACATCATGACACACCAATTGTCAAGGCTAACAATCGAGATCTCACCTACATCCTCTTGTCCTCCCTCCTGCTCTGCTTCCTCTGCTCCTTCCTTTTCATTGGTCAGCCAGGGAAGATCACCTGTCTCTTCCAACAATCTGCCTTTGCCATTCTCTTTGCCCTGGCAGTTTCCTCCGTCTTGGCAAAAACTGTCATGGTAGTTCTGGCCTTCATGGCCACCAAGCCTGGAAACAGGTCAAGGAAACTCTTAGGAAAACCACTGACCAACTCCATTGTCATAGCCTGTCCCCTGATCCAAGCAGTCCTTTGTGCCACCTGGCTGGGAACCTCTCCCCCGTTTCTTAACTTGGACTTCCACTCCTTGTTTGGAGAGACCATCTTGGAATGTAAGCAAGGCTCAGCTGTAATGTTTTACGGTGTCCTCTCTTACCTAGGACTTTTGGCCCTTGTCAGTTTCACAGTGGCATTTCTAGCTAGGAAATTGCCTGATAGTTTTAATGAAGCCAAGTTCATTACTTTTAGCATGCTGGTCTTTTGCAGTGTTTGGATCTCCTTCCTCCCCACCTACCTGAGCACCAAAGGGAAGTCCATGGTGGCTGTGGAGATCTTCTCCATTTTGGCCTCTGGAGCTGCTCTCTTGGCTTGTATCTTTTTCCCCAAATGCTTCATTATTCTATTGAGGCCAGATCTGAATTGTAGAGAAAATATAGTAAGGAATAAGAATATCTAACTAATGCAATGGGCAGTCTCATTTATTTTTCTTTTTGTGGCATGTTTAGAATATGATTCTTTTTTTATTAAAAAAAAGTGTTGAGAAGAAGGAGGAATCTGTCCATTAAAGAATTCCTTCTCAAGTGTTGTAATTGGTTACATGTCAGGTTCCATAAATCTCTATTGGGACGCTACCATTCTGGTGGGAGGGGGAGGCTTTGGGGAGGTTTTTTGTGCAGGGTTTCATTTACTTTGCTTTGCTGTACCTTGTGTGAAATAGGTGTCACCTTGGGTCACCTTAGGAGGGGAAAAGGAATGTGCTTTGAGCCGTCTGCTTTATCTCACCACCAGAGAAAGCAAAATTGAAGCGCCTGGGAGTTGACAGTTATCACCATCTCTACCCGACGTTCTCAAAACATCTTTGGACCTTGGGATTGGCTCAATGTTGAACTGGACATTGGGAGGGGCTTTGCTTGTAGCAGTTTAGCCTAACGCTTTGAGTGGGAAACTTCAGATCCTGCCTACATTTCCTTTGCTATCACTGTTTTTCAATAAAAGTTCCTTTTGAAATGATAATTGTTTCAAGAGTTCTGTTTTCTTGAAAAGACTGGAAAAGCAGGACCTTACATTACAATTTACCTGTGGTCAGAAACTATCATCCTGTCTTTGTTTATCATGTTTTCAAAGTGTCCTCAGTGATGTCCAGTGCCCTGATTTGATGGGAAGCTTGTTCATAAAGATATGTTTATTATTACAAGGAGGAAATTTTCTTGTTTATTCTTTTTAATTTAGTTCATTTTTTAAGTTAGTTTTTTAAAGGGATGGGTTCAGTGTTTTTAAGGAAATATGGTTGTTTCCTTAGATATCTGAGGCTTTATAGAATTGCCTACCACTATTCAATGATTTTTGAAATGGTGGCATTTAAAATCCCTTCACATCCAGATCTGCTATACTTCCTTATCAATGTCAGGCATAATTTTCCTCAGATGGATGAGCAAAGTATGTCATAACTGAATGCAGTATGTTATCATCTCTTGTGACATTTCATCTCTTGGGCTTCCTTGTTAAGCCATGATGCTCTACAAGATCTTTCTGTAGAGGACTTCCGGTGGTTCTGCAGGCGTCAGCGGTCGCTCCTTTGGGAGCGCTAGCCCCATGATTTCGTTAAGCCGCTAGAACAGCGAAAATCAGCTGTCTAGTGACTTGGAAACTTTCCCCTTGGGAAAAGAGGGGAAAGAGAGCAGCCAGGTGCGGGTAGAGCTCCCCACGAGCTCCAGGAACAATCCTGGAGCTCGAAGGGTGAGAGCTCCCCAGGAACCTGGTAGAGCTCCGAATCCAGGACATGTCTGCTTTATGCAGAACAAGATGCCGCGACCATCCCTGCAAGCAACTTCTTAACAACATTTGGATTAAAAGCAGGCAGAGCAAAGACAGGAGACATTATAACTGCAAGTACCAAACTTTAACTCCAGCTAAATATTCTTTCTTTCTGGGTCTGATGAGAACGGGAAAAAGTTGAAAGAAAATGGCACTGGCTTGTTAAGGGTGTGGAAAGTGAAAGTAAAGAAGAAAATGCTTGTTAACTCGTCAAAGCTGTCAGCCCCGTTTAACTCTAATGGACATTGTTTTAAAGAATTAAGACTCTGGGAATAAAGAATAAAGTATTGACTTACTAATAAGCCATATTATTGGTTAAAGATCAAAATTAAAATATTTACTGACTTACTGGGCTGGTTGTTGAAAATTACAATTTGGAAATGGCTTCAAGGCAGACAAAAACAGGCATTCCAAAAAGTGCTGGAAGTTCTCCTGCTCAAACCCCTAAATTGCAGTCTTTGAGGCCCCAGTGGATACACAAGCACAAGCACAATGCAAACACAAGTATTGACACTGGAGGCTCTCCAAGGTGCCTTAAAGGTGCAAGCCTCTGAATTGCAAGAAAAAATCATATCTGCATTTAAATATGTCTCTGAGGAAATGGCAGCAATTAAGGACCTAATCCAAACCCATAATCAAGAAATAAGAGAAGACATTGTGGAAGCATTTCAGGGTTTGGTGGGTCATGTTACATTGTTGGAGGAAAAGGTTGAAGAAATTAATCAATCTAATGTGAATTTGGAGGTTAAAATGGATGAAGCTCAAATCAAGATTGACAAGACAGAGGCAGAACTTACAATGACACAATATAGGACGATGGAATTTGCTTTGAGGGTAAGAGGCTTGAAAGAAAATAATCAGGAAAATTTGAAAGAGATTTTTGCAGAAGCTCTTGCACAGTTAACTGAAGAGTCCGAAGTAGAGTGTGACTGGCAAATTGATAAAATTTATCGTGTTAACTCATGGATTGCCAGGCAAAGACAATTACCAAGAGATATTGTGATCTACTTTGTTACCAGGAAGATAAGAAATGGGATCTTACAAGCTTCTTACAAAAACAAACTACAAGTGGCAGGACAGGAGGTTGCACTATTCAAGGAAATTCCCCCTAAAATGTTGAGAGCTAAAAAAGACTATGCATTTCTAGTGGATGAATTGAGAAATCGTCAGATACAGTATAGATGGAAGGTTCCAGCCAGATTAGTGGTGAATTATTCAGGAGAACGATATCGTCTCAATACAATTCGGAAGGCAAGAGATTTTTATGTCAATGTACTAAAGGCTGGATACCCACCATCTCCAGGAGCCAGAAAAAGAAAAGAAGCAGGAGACGCTAGAAAGGAAGGCTTGCAAGCACAAGCCCAGGGAGGGGCTTGGAGTACCCAAGAAGAATTAGTCCAACTTTTGGGGGCTGTGCAAGCCTTGGAGCTATTTGAAAAAACAGAAGAAGCCCAAGAACAAAGACAAACACGAGCGGCAACTAAACGAAAGGAACAAGAATTAAAGATGCAACAAACCCAGATAATAACCCAAGAAAGTACAAACATAAATACAGAAGCCGGTGAGGGGGGGGCAAGACCAAAGACCACCTGGCTAGCAACCTCTCCTCCATTTCCCTGCTGGGACTTTTACTCCTTATTTGGGTAGATCATCTTGGAATGTAATGAAGGCTCAGCTTCAATGTTTTACATTGTCCTTGCCTACCTAGGTTTTTTGTCAGTTTCACAGTGGCATTTCTAGCTAGGAAATTGCCTGACAGTTTCAATGAAGCCAAGTTCATTACTTTTAGCATGCTGGTCTTTTGCAGTGTTTGGATCTCCTTCCTCCCCACCTACCTGAGCACCAAAGGGAAGTCCATGGTGGCTGTGGAGATCTTCTCCATTTTGGCCTCTGGAGCTGCTCTCTTGGCCTGTATTTTTTTCCCCAAATGCTACATTATTCTGCTGAGGCCCAATCTGAATTGCAGAGAAAATATAGTAAGAAACAAGAATTTCTAATTAATTCAAGGATTGGCCTCATTTTTATTTGTCTTTGTGGCATGTTTAGAATGTGATAAGATTTCTAATAAATGATGACGTGAAGGACGAATTTGTCCATAAAAGAATTCCTTATGAAGTTCTGCAATTTACAATATTCCTGTGGTCAGCTTTTTTTTAATGTTTTCAAAGTGTCCTTAGTGAGATCCAATGCCCTGTATGGAAGGAAAACTTGTTATTAAATATGTGTTTATTCTTTCTGATATTATATGGCAAGGGGAAAAAAACAAGAATTAGATACAAGCAACTGCAAGATGCTAAGGAAATAGGAGGTTTGGGTTTACCAGACCTGAAATTGTATTTTGAGTCATGTTGTCTGGCCTGGTTAAAAGAGTGGGTGAACTTTCATAATAAGAGGCTATTTGAATTAGAGGGCCACGAATTAAGGTTTGGATGGCACCATTATTTATTTTATGATAAAGTTCAAGTTAATGTTGATTTTAATAATCACTTTGCTAGACGTGCCATACTAAGAGTTTGGAATAAATATAAAACAAGGTTCTATATGAAGTTGTCTCTTTGGGTGTCTCCCCAAGAAGCTTTTTTTAGAAAAAAAATTGTGGCAAAGCCAGACTGCTGGACGTATGGTAAAATATTATCTTTCAACTCTGGTGAACCTACATTAAAGTTGAGGGAAGAACTTGAATTATGTTTATCATTGGTTTACATATCGAGAACTGAAAGAATGGTTTAAATCAAATAAAAAGAGTTGTGGGTTTGATTTTGCTAAAGAATGAATTGGAAATATTACTGTGTGGTAGTGATGAACATATTATTGCTAAGATTTATAAAATGTTATTGAAATTGAATTTGGAAAGTGAACATGTAAAGCACTGTATGATTCACTGGTTAAGGAATTTTGGATATAATGTGATGCTTGAACAATTAGAAAATATGTGGATGAAAGGTTTAAAATTTACACTAAACTATAATTTAAAAGAAAAATTTTATAAGATGATGTATCGCTGGCATTTAACACCAGATAAGTTATCCAGAATGTATAACGGTATTTCAAATGAATGTTGGAAGTGTAAAAGAAAAAAGGAAGTTTTACCATTTATGGTGGACATGTGATAAAGCAAAGAAATTTTGGAATAAGGTTCATATTATAATACAGAATATTCTTCAAATGAAAGTAAAAATGAAACCAGAAACTTTTCCTTTGGGTTTAATGGAAAAAGACTTGGAGAAAAATTTTGATCTTATAGATATTGACAGCAGCAAGACTATTATACGCACAAAAATGGAAGGACACTTAGATTCCCACTATGGATGAATGGCTACAGAAGCTGATGGAGTTGGAAGAAGTGGCAAAATTGATCATTTTGGTTAAAGGAAAGAATATAAGTACCTTTATTTCCACATGGAAACCGCTTCTGAACTTTGTGCTTGAGGTGGAAAAAAAATGAAACTTTGATTTTGGGTTTTACCAATTAGATTGATATGTTTTTATAGAAATGGATAGTTTATATTACTATGGGAAAACAAAAAGTTGTGGTTTGATGTTAATGCTTTTTTTTTTTACTGCAACAGAGGGAGTCAGAAGTCAATGTTTCTTCTTTTCTTTTCCCCAATTTCTCCTGGTGTAGGGTTTCTTGCCTTTGCAGGGGGTTGGACTAGAAGACCTCCAAGATCCCTTCCAACTCTGTTATTCTATTCTATTCCTCGCTTTTCTCTCCCTGTTTCCCCCTCACACACAGCGTGTCTTCCTATTTACTTGTATTTTATCTAATAACCTAATAAAAAACGTTAAACTGTAAAAAGATGTGTTTATTGTTTCAAAGAGGATGCCATGGAGGATTTTCAATGTGATAACCTTGAGTTGGGCATGGATGCAAAGCAGAAACCAATGCAGCTTGTAAAACAGGGCTATGACATGAGCCATTCTAGGGATAGATAACATTGTCCACCCTGCTTCATTCAGCACCAGCTGTAGCTTCCAAATGCTCTTCAAAGGTAGCCCTATGTAGAGCCCATTGTGTGAATTCAAATGCAAGAGGACCAGGGCATGAGTGACTGAGCCCAGGGAATCACAATCCAGGAAA